CACTTAGGTCATGATCTCGCGGTTCATGGGTTCGAGCCCCGTGTCGGGCTCTGTGCTGACTGCCAGCTCAGAGCCTGGAGCCTGCTTCAGATTCTGTGTCTCCCTCTCTCTCTGACCCTCCTCTGCTCACGCTGTCTCTCTCTCTCTCTCTCTCTCTCTCCTAGAAATGAATAAAACATTTAAAAAAAATTAAAAAATAAAAAACGGGACTAGGAGGGAAGGAAAAGGAGAATGCTCTATATATTAAGCAAATTGACTCGCAGGAAATGTGCTTCATTTGGAAGTCTACTTTATCCGCTGTTACCTTAGATCCTGCAGCTTTCTCTTGATGGGTGCTGGCATGTTCTACCATTTGCCATCCTGTTTCTTTGAACCCATCTCTGTCTTTCTTATTGAAAGTGAGTTTCTTGGGGCGCCTGGGTGGCTCAGTCGGTTAAGCGTCCAAGTCGGCTCAGGTCATGATCTCACGGTTCGTGGGTTCGAGCCCCGCGTCGGGCTCTGTGCTAACTGCCAGCTCAGAGCCTGGAGCCTGTTTCAGATTCTGTGTCTCCCTCTCTCTCTGACCCTCCCCTGCTCATGCTGTCTCTCTCTCTCTCTCTCAGAAATAAATAAACACATTTTAAAAAATTTAAAAAAGAAAAAAAAAGTGAGTTTCTTATAGATTGAATATAGTGTCGGATGGATGAGCCTGGAGCTGGTCTTGGGTTAGTATCTTTGGGAAATGTGGGCGTGACCGGTTCATTGAAAGGGGCTGCGGGGCAAGAGGCCTGGGAATATGGGAACAGAATATGAAATAATGAAGAAAACAGAGAAATTGGCCCCTATAAAGAAGCAGGCAGGAGCACCCAGGTGATTCAAGACCAAGTTGAATAAGCAGGTAATACAGGCATTGGGTGGAATTCCACATGCAGGCCTGGTGGGTTCAGAGTATGTGCTGCAGGTCAAGTTAGAGGTTACCAGCTACCGAGAAGAGGCTGGGGCTCTGCGAAACGGTAGTGAAGGTTAGGGAGTGTGCTCCTGGGGAACCTCGGCAGAACGACCGAGGAGGCGGGGCACCGAGGTCAAAGGGGACCTTCTCTAAGACCGAGGTTGACTGTGACACCTTGGAGCCCATTTTATTTGCACCTGGATTGTCTTAGAGTGTGGGATGAGCTGAGCAGGCAAGTGAGAAGTACGTAAGTACAACCCCAGGCCTGCAGCACAGGGACAGGAGCTGGGCGGGAGATGATAGAAGACACTGATGGGTGGATTTACTTGCCCAGATTTAAGGTTTTATTTTGGCTTGATGACACGCAGGCACTATAGAGGATGGAATTTGCCAGGTGGTAGATTTCCTAGCTTTTATCTTGATATTGTTTTTTATTCTGTAGCATCTGTGGTTTCTGCAAATATGAGGACTTTTTAAAAACACACACCTTTTAAAAAGGAGAATAGTGGATAGAGTAGGTTTAAGAGAATGTCAGAAGTAGAACACACTCATGAGAAATTATAATTCTACCCTCTATGTTTATTGAGCACCTACTACATGGCAAACGTTGAGCTAAGTCGGCCTTGGCCTCAGATTTCAGGAACTCTACAGTCTAGTGGGGGCAAAGGAACAGAAATAGTAAACAAAACTTACACAAATACAGGCTAAATTTCTATTGTGATAGACATGCAGAGCATAGGTTGCTTTACGAGTCAAAATTAGGGGAATTTGGCTCAGGCAGGGAGGTCAGGGGAAGACTCTTGGGGAAGTGACAGTTGAGAAGCCACCTGAAATATGAGTGGTAGGGAAGAAGGTGAGGGGAGTAAGGGTCTGTGGCAAACCACAGTGTAGCCAGGGAGTAAGTGGAGAGTGGCCCAAGATGACGCGGGGGACACACACAGGGACCGTGGAGAATCTTATGAGCACCGCGGAAGAGCTTCAGGGAGAGTTTTAAAGTCAACATATAGAGATGGGGAGTGGAGGTGAGAAAGGCCGAAGGAGTGTTTGTGGGTGCGATGTGACCCGATTTTGAGATTACCTTGGCTCCTCTGTCACCCGGGGGGCTGCTGCAGTGTGGATGGCAGGTTAGGTCAGCTGTAGACTGGGAGATCTAGGAGGCTTGGGCTTGGAGATTGTGTACAGACAGAGGAGTAGGTCAGTTAAGGAGATAATCAAGAGATAAAATCCACAGGATTTGTTGATGGATGGGACACGGAGGGCACCAAACATGAACCTGTGGTTTGGGGTTCATTAAACTGGTTGGATGAGGCAGTGTTTGGGGGGAGAGAGCATGAGTGCGGTTTTGGACATGTGGAGTCTGAGGCATCCTTCAGACTTCCAAAGGAGATGACCAAATAGGCAGTCCAACGTAAGGGGCCGAGCTCGGCAGAGAAATCAGACGTAGCGATTTAAATTTGGGAGGCTCCTGCACAAAACGGTGCAGGAGGAGGTGGTGTGGATGGCGTTGTGTCGGAGGGATTAAGAAAGAAGTGGTCAACATCTCAAAAGCTGCTGTATGTCAAGATGAGGCCAATCAATCGTGTATGGGAACAAGTGTTGATGCAGACACTTTCTGACATCAGTGAGCGTGGTTTGGTAGAGTGAAGACTCCAAATGCCTGGTGAAGGGCGTGGGGCATAACGAGAGGGGAGGACATAGAGGCAGAACGTCCGAACCGCCCTTTGAGAAGCTTGACAAAAAAAGAAGAGGCAAGAGAGGGCCGAAGCTGGAGGGAAAATACGACTGGGGAAGTTATAAGCTTTATTGCCTGAAAGACTTTACTGAAATTGAACAGCTTTTAATGACCAGAAGCAAAAATTAAGCTTTGAGAAAAAATAGACTGTGCGAAAGCACCAATGTTCATTAAATCATTTTTTTCCGTGTCTCTCCTTAATTGGTAATTGGTTTTCGGCCATGACACATTTGCTTGTTAATTGCTATACTTCCTATTTAATCATGCTTTTATAATTCTCTCCGGAGAACATGGCTGAAAAAGATCCAAAGGGAGCCTGAATTCCTCTCCATAAATCGCCCATGGTGAGACAGAACAGCTACAAGAAAGCTTTTTTATAAGGCCTCAACCCCATTTTTACTTTGTTCTTGAAAGTACATCCCACAGTGAGAATGATATTCAAGCGAGAAGGACTTTGCAAGTTCCACGTGGCTCCCTATGCTCTTCTAACCACAAGCAACTATCTTCTTCAACATATTTTACTTGTATTTTTTTTTTTTTTTGAGAGAGAGAGAGAGAGCAAGCAGGGGAGGGGTGAGAGAGAGGAAGACAGAGAATCCCAAGCAGGCTCCACACTGTCCAGGCTCCACACTGTCAGCACAGAGTCCAATGTGGGGCTTGAACTCATGAACTGTGGGATCATGACCTGAGCCAAAACCAAGAGTCTGGCCCTTAACTGACTGAGCCACCTGGGTGCCCCTGTATTTTTTAAAATAATAATTTACAAAAGAGGGGGGTGTGGGCTACTCTCTGGAGTGTACGGTATGCCCTTCAAGTTGACTTTGAAAGATGATTAATTACAGCAGTGTCTGTTCAGTTTCAAATGTTCAAATTAAATGTGCTTCAAAACTCTTATTAAAGGGAATATCCTTTACACACCTGTCACTTGTGAGAAGGGCTGATTCAAGTCAAAATTATGAAAGAGGTAATGCTAATCATTAGACCCGACACACTCTACCCTGTTGAATGAAAGAATCTTCTAGTGATCTTTGAGTGGCCCTGACTTAAGCACTCAGTAACTAATTCTCCATGAGTTCTGTGATTTCAGATTGATGTAATTCAGAGGTGGAAAGGACTTGAGAGCTAACAGGCCCAGAGCCCTGAGGGGCTGCCGAGCCCTCAGGGAGAAAGGAGATAGTCAGAGAATGAGCTATGGGCTCCGGGCCACATGTCCAGTACTGTATCTGTTATAGTAGGGGCTGGCAAATTGCACCATATGCCTGTTTTTGTAAATAAAGTTTTATTGGAACCCAGCCTCACCCATTCATTTACGCATCCTCTGTGGCTGCTTTCAATCCATAGCTGCAGAGTTAAGTTAGTTGCCACAGAGGTAGTATGACCTGCGAACCCTAAAATAACTCGCTGACTTTCATAGAAAAGGTGTTGAGGGGCTCCTGCGTGGCTCAGTTAAGCATCCAACTTCGGCTCAGGTCCCGATCTCACATTTTGTGAGTTCTAGCCCTCGAGCTGCACTGACAGCGCAGAGCCTGGAGCCTGCTTCAGAGTCTGTGTCTGCCTCTCCTCTGCTCGTGCTCTGTCTCTCAAAATAGATATTGAAAAAAGAAAAAAAGAAAAGGTCCCGAGCCCCGTGTGTATAGCACTTTTGAATCACTTCAGACAAAAGGACAGAGTGCTGGGCCCCACTCTAGACCTTCTTGGCCCCAATCTTTCAGAAGGGGATCCAGGAATCAGCATTCGTTAAAAAAAAAAAAAAGGCGATTTTAATGTTCTGCTAGAACTTATTGCTGCTCCCACTCCCGGAGATGCGGACGAGGAGGTTAGGGAGCCGGGCTGGAGAACAGGCATTTCTACCCAGCTCACAGGTGGTGCTGAAGCGCTGGACCCCCAACCACTCGGCAGAGCACGGACTTCCATCGAAGGGCCTGCACCTCTAACGAGACAAGGTCAAGTCCTGGGGCCACGGGATGGGGTTGGGGATAGACTTGTTGCAGCTCGTGCCCGGAAGAGCCTCACTCCTCTGTTCCAATCATTCTTGCCCTCCCCTCCTCCCCCCCATCTAGAAGACTCGAAATCAAGCCCTTCTTGCTCCGGATCTCCACTCCTGTATAGGTTTTATTGTGTCTTAAAAAATTTCCTAGGGACTATTTCGAGGCGTGTAAAGTAACTGCATTTTGAACGGAGAGCAGTGGGATGCTGGACCGTCGAGTTTCCGGCAGAAAAGGAAATGTACATTGCAAAGTAGTTCAAAACCCCAGCAGAAGCTGAATAAGTATCTGTGGAGACCATGCGAAAACACAAAATGATGAAAAGGCAACAGAGAGAGAGGCAAGACACAGGGCCTTGGAACCACAAAAAGGATTTTATTTTGAACCAGAAAGCAACAGCAATGGAGAGAACAGTCCGGGCCAAGGGCGTGGCACTGTGACTCAAGCACCAGGGACTGGATTTGTGCAGGTGAAGGGGCGGGCCAGAGTCCACTCTGCCTTTCCAAACTAAGCAAATCACATCCAGATCTTTGTGACACATCACTGGATTCCCGTTTACACAGGCTTGGACTGCCTTTCGGGTTCCAGATTTTTGTAATGGTTTTGTAAATATTTCTTAAACTGAAGGAGTCACTGCAGTGAAACTTCTGCAGTGAAGTGTCCCCTTTTCTTTTCTTTTGGATAGATCAGGCATTGAATCAATTACAGGAGAAGCAAAACAGATTTGTGAGAGTTTTGCTTTAAAAAAACCTCCGAAGAGCAAGAGTTTCTCACCTGCGGCACCACTGACATTTTGCCCGGATCATTCTTGGCTGGGGTGGGGGGTGGGGGCGCTGTGCAGTGCACTGTAGGAAGTTGAGCGGCATCCCTGGTCTCTACCCACCAGATGCCAGTAGCGCCCTCTCCCAAGTTGGGGTAACCAAAAATGCCTCCAGGCATTGCCAGATCGCCCCCTTGTTGAATAGTGAAAAGCACTATTTCAAAAACATCCTTTTGCTTCCTGCTTAACATTTTATAAGGGTAGACCAGATCATCAACTTCCCAACACCAAAAGCACATGTACACGAGCACACGTGCGCGTGTCTCTTCAGGCACCGCATACGTGCCTGGAGCCGAAGCGGAATCCCACGCTCACTGGACAGTGCTGGTTCAGTTCCTTGGCAAGTTCAGGGTCAACATCCCAGTACCGTGATAAATTGTCCGTTCGTCATCAGGTCATCTCCTCTCTCCAGCCAAAATCATCATCGTCAGTATTTGCAGTCAGTTTTTGAAGTCATTTTGTTTCAAGCTGGAAAGAAAATCTTTACCCGCGCCCACTCTCCTCTCAATCCATTTCGATTCCTCTTCGAATGACACGGCCAGCCACCTTGGACACTGGATCCAGGTTTCTTCATTTGTATCCACCAGGAAGAGAGGTACCATGTTCCTGAGTTCTGGTATGAGGACTGGCTACATAACATTTGAGGCCCAGCGCAAAATGCATTTTCAGGCCCCTTATTCACAATTTATTAAGAATTTCAAGATGGCGACAGCACCTGTCCACACACCCACGACGTCAGACCCGGCAGGCCTCGGTCGGTGCTGCATCAATTTGGTTGTATTAATTTAAGTGGCGCCGCCATCTTTCTCCCCTGTAACGCAATGCTTCCTGCAAAGCTATGGACCTCACAAACAAAATACTGTGACCCCAGTCCACTGAAAGAATTGTACTGCAGCAAATGTTTATAGCATATATTTTTTAGACTCTCAAAAAAAATCCACATGGAAATCTTTTCTACACCATTACAGTAACGAAAGGAAACACGGTGGCCTTTCACCATATACACATTTTCCTGTAAATAGGAGAACATGGAAATAGTAACTGCTACTATCCACAAAGTTTTTAAGTTAGCAAAGAGTGAGACTTCCACAACCAAATTATAACATAGTCCCTCTTGTCCTTATAAAAATAGCCAAAACATAAACTAAATGGCTTGCAGTGAAAATTTGAGTAGTAACTTCTTTATGTTGTAAAACATTATATTCACAGAAATATCGTCCTCGTAAATGCTTTACACGAACATCATAAGGCAAACTGTAGCATCTACTGGTACCTGGCAACCATTTTAAAAACTCAGAAGCTGACTTTTAGACCCTTTTATTTAAAACCTGTTGGTGTACAAAGTGCATTAAAATATCCGTTATCCAGCTACCAAAACAGTATGTAAAAATTACAACCCTTTCAGTTTGCCCAGGGAAGGCAAAAACACATTATTTTTATGTTGTAAAAAAAAAAACAACCCAAAAAACCATTAAGTTTCCAGAGAATGATTAATTTTTTTCCGTTGAGGTGTCCATCTGTTAGAGGTGAAATTGTCCTAAGTAGCTATCAAAATATTCATCTGGGTATAAATAATATAGTAAATATATAAACTCTATCTGTTAAGAAAAGAGAGCGTCTGCCCGTGAAGGGGACAGAAACGCCCATGATGTGGCCCACGGGTTCCGGGCTCACAATCATGTGATGTGATGCTGAAACGGTGGGTCTGTGGACGGATTTCAGGGTGACAATTGGTTGATCTGGTTAAAAACAAAATTGCTGAAGACAATGCTTAAATTCATCAGTCTGTTCGGTCGAAATGGCCAACCCCGTAGTTCAGATAAATATGTTAGCAAATGAAATGACTTCTAGATCTCATGCCCTTCGTCAAGATAGAACCAATGCCAGATTCCTGGTCCAAGTCCAAGGACTGCTTAAGAAAGCCTTACTTCATGGACCATTCCAGCTTACCAGGTCCGCATGCCCAGAATCCCACCCAACCGCTTATCAGCTGGTTTTATTAGCAGTCTCCAGCGTGGCAGTAGCGAGTTTGATTTTTTTGTGTGTGGTTTTTTTTTTTGTTGTTGTTGTTTTTTTGTCTTGTTTTGTTTTTTGTTTTACAACTCCATAGCAAACTATACTAGAACACAGAGGGTCCTCTACATCTTTCGAGATGTTTAATAAAAGTCTTTTTATAGCTTTTGAGGCACGCATACTAGTAAATAGTACTTTCTGCAACGTCCCTTGTCATTACCAACTCATAAATAGTGTTTCTCGGGTGAGTTATATTTGGACGTGGTAGAGACAGTCAGGGCCATGTGTCCTGGAGAGCAAAGTCAGTCCAAAGTGGTGCTGCCATTTGTAATAGGAAATGTTTATTCCCTCAGCCCCAGCAAGCAAAGAAAAATGATTTGGGAGAGAGGGAGATAGGACAGCTGTTAAATGTAGTAAAGCAATGTCACAGGCCTCACGATACTACTAAGAGGAAGAAGGAAACAGACTTATGTCATGAAACAGAACCCTACTTCTGCTCAAAGACAAATCAGCCTCTGACGTTTTGAAAAATCGGTAGGATTCACAGAGACTATTTTCAGTCGGAATCTCAATTCTCAACATGCTCCCAGAATCCTGAATCCTGGGAGAGGTGAGGTCACACACGGCCGAAGGCTTCACAACCTTTCTTTCCGACATTACCCCACCAGCCATTGGAGGGTGATGACAGACTGGGCCATGGCGGAGTCCAAGCTCCAGAGTCAATTCTTTCAATTCTCTCTTTTGCTCTCCATTCCGGTTGAACCAGTAAGTTTTTGACATCACAGTTAAAACACTTCAAAATAAACCAGAGTAAGAAAGCCCATGTACTGCCCTACTAGGTTCAAAACTATTTTTTGCTTTTAAGATCCTCCCGTATTCTGGTATGCGCTGTTGAGGCAACAGGACCTACAACAGAATTGGTAGGAGCTATGAGGATGTGAGGAGGTGGATACGCACACAAAACCACAAGAGTTTTTCCTCAAGCCCACAGAGTGTGACGAAACGAAGGCTGTTGTGAAGAGCCCGTAAGCTTCTGGGCTTCTTAATGTGCAAACTCAAATAATTTCTAAGAGTTGTAATTCTGGGTATGTTTCTTTTATAAATAATCTATAAATTTTCCTGTAGATACAAAAAAAAAAAAAAACCTTGAAGAAATTATTAAAGCGTGTACTTAATACAAAAGACAGCAAAGGGGGAGAATCGCCTATTTGGAGAACTATCCTAGCTGATTTCTGGACACTTTTTGGTGAGACTTAATCACCCTCTGGAAGCCTGTGCTTTCTCTGTCCCTGAAATGGTGGCCACGGCCCTTTTTAATCCCCCAGAAATCAGCTCCACGTGGCCAAGAGCTCACGGCAGCTGCTCTGTGCAGTCCAGATGGTCTGGGATCGGAAGGCCAGTTATAATGGTCAAACACTTGTTCCACAGCGTGAAGGTGGGGCACACAGGCTGCGAGAATGTGATGTCGAAGGTGTAGAGGTGGATGGAGTTCAAAGCATCGTAGAAGGCGATGGAACCGTTATCATAGTCCAGCAGAATGCCGACGCGCCGGAGATGGGGGGCTGGCTCGATGGGGGTTTCCTTGCTGTTGTGTCTCACCACCCAGTTATTGTGACAGCGACACAGCGCCCAGGAAGCAGAGTTCTTGCCGATCCACTCGTGCTTCGGGGCTGATTTGTAAGCGAGGCCGATGGCATACCTGCACAAACAAAACAGTGACAACGAGAACGATGAGGTGTGTGGCACAGGTGTGCTAGATCCCTTCTATGGTTATCCGGGGTCACGAGAACCTGATTCGCTCTTCAGTGAAAGCTTGGCAAGGGCCCTGACACAGGTGTTCCTCATCTCCTTCGCTCCCAGACACACGGTGGGTGGAAATGGGCTGTTGTATTTATTCATATTCCTGTTTGTAGTTCAGACATTATATGAGGATTTGAACTTTGTGTTTTGCTGCCTCTTTCCTTCTTTCTTTCCTTCCTCCCTCCTTCCTTCCTTCCCTTCTTTCCTTCTTTCTTTTCACTCCTTAAGACCTGCACTGTGAATTCTCTAGACCAGTGCTGTCCAACATAACTTTCTGCAATGAGTGAAATGTCTTGCTCTGTTCAATATGGTAGCCACGAGCCACATGTGGCTACTGGGCACTTGAACTGTGGCTGCTGAGACTGAGGAACCAAACTTTATATGTAGTTAATTTTCATTAAGTTAAATTATGTAAATAGTTGCATGTGGCTCAGGACTACCATATTGGACAGCACAACCCTTTTGACCTACTTTGAATTTTTCTTTTTTTGTTTTAATTTTTTTAATGTTTTATTTATTTATTTATTTATTTATTTATTTATTTATTTGAGAGACAGGTAGAGACAGCATGAGCAGGGGATGGTCAGAGAGAGAGGGAGACACAGAATCCGAAGACAGGCTTCAGGCTCTGAGTTAGCAGTCAGCAGAGAGCCCGACGCGGGGCTCGAACCCACGAACCATGAGCCGAAGCCAGACGCTTAGCGGACTGAGCCCCTGATCTACTTTGAATTTTTCAACTGGCATCATGTCTGTCATTTCCCATGACTTCAAGCACACTTTGCAAAAGGCAAGCACGGAGAATGATGTTCATTTGCAGGGAAAGTTCCTTGTCCTCTCCTGGTGCCAGTTTCCTCATCTGTAACACAAGGGCAATGACAGCCTCCATCTCAGATGGTTATTTTGAGGAGTAAAGGAAAGAATACATGTAAAATTCTGGGCACGAGGCCTGGCAAGGAATCTTTAGTAACTGCTGTTCTATTCTTTTTGCTCAATAACACATTACTAATTAAGTATCAGAATCAGAACTTGAACCTAGGATGACTCAAAAGGCCCCAAACTTAAACAACATTCTCTCATACCTTCCCTCACCAGAAATTATGTGATTCATCACGGCCAAAAGCCCTTCTGATTAATTTCCTACTACATTTAAAAAAGTTCTGAATGTCTTTGAGAGCTAGATATCCTGGTTATTCTAAATGTACTCTTGGGGCGCCCGGATGGCTCAGTTGGCTAAGCGCCTGACTCTTGGTTTCAGCTTGGGTCATGATCTTACGGTTTGTGAGTTTGAGCCCGGAGTTGGTCTCTATGCTGACAGTGTGGGGCCTTCTTGGGATTCTCTCCCATCTCTCCCCTTCCCCTTCTTGCGTGTGCTCGTTCTCTCTCAAAATAAATAAAAGTTCAAAAATAAATAAACGGGGGAGCCTGGGTGGCTCAGTTGGTTAATCGTCCGACTTCGGCTCAGGTCATGATCTCATGGTTTGTGGGTTCGAGCCCCGCATCGGGCTCTGTGCTGACAGCCAGCTCAGAGCCTGGAGCCTGTTTCAGATTCTGTATCTCCCTCTCTCTCTGACCCTTCCTTGTTCATGCTGTCTCTCTCTCTCTCAGAAATAAAACATAATAAATAAATAAATAAATAAATGTACTCTCAACTGCTCCAAAAAAGTTGAGGATTCTTTCTACAATGTTCTAAGCTCCTTAATCTCTTTTTAACCTGCTGAGGTATGCCTCCACAACATTTGCAATATTTCAGTTATTACGATAAACAAAACTCATCATTCTTAATAAAGAACAAATGCTTCATGGCCCAACTTTTAATATGTTATAGCAGAAGCCGGTCTAAGTGGATATTGACATATGGTACCTTACCTAGTACGGACAGAAAAAACTTCATTGGACTTTGATAAAGTGACATTCTTTTGAAAATCACGTGTTGGATTTAAAATACGATCACTTTCAGTAAGAGTGCTGTGTTAAAAAAAATGAATATAACACACTATCACTGAATTAAAAAAAGGATGGAATTGATGATCAGTTAAGGCCAGGGTACCAGCCTGTCTGCCATCGACTTGGCCTCCTCTCTTCCTTCTTGCCAATCCTGCTCTGCATCTCGGGGGGGAATCCCGGGGCTGCATTTCCCAGAATCCCTTTACCAGTGGGAGGCTGGGAGGTCCTGCCACCGTGACGGCTTTGCAGAAGACGCAGAAGTTCTAAGAGGTGGGGAAAATGCCCTTTTCCAGACAGCAGAGAGCAGGGGTGAGGTTTGCGGGAGCTTCTGGCAAACTCCCAGGTACACCTGGCTCTGGGCTGTTGGTAGCTTTCTGGCACACAGAGCTCATCCCCGACGCACACGCCCAGCCCTCCCAGGGTCCCAGTAAGCCCCTGCTTCCCTTCCTCCTTGATTGACTTTTGGTTTTCTGCTGAACCCTACGTCCCTGAGACACTCTGGAAAGGTTTTTGTTTTGTTTTTGAGTATTTCCCCTAAAGACATTCTCTATGCCCCGGCAGACACCGTTTCCATTTTTCAGATAACTCGGAGCCTGCGTCTGCATCACAAAATAGCGGAGCCTGTATCATTCCCTTCATGTTGCCGCACACCAGTTTCATGTTTTATTAAAGAACTTTGACGTTTTATTTCCCAGCTGAACCTTAACTGAACCCGCTGTGAAGTAGCTGTGGCAGGTATGACGGACTTCATTTAGCAAATGGGAAAACACGGAGGTTAAAATTAGGAGCAGAATTCAGAGTCTTGCTCCCTCCCCTTTGACTTCTGGCCCAGTAATCCTTGCGTGAACCCATGTTTAGTTAACACCATTTCATAAAACACCAAGCGCACATTAACAGCATTAGAGAGTAAGAAAATAACTACGTGTATAGTCCATTAAGCAAAGGAAAATATCATTATATTATCATTAATCTGTAAAACTATGTACGTATTTCCATCGAGCTTGAAAGGTGCAGGCAGAAGGTAATGCTCCATTAAGTTACGCAGTGAGACTTGGAGAATTCAGAAAGTATAAAAATTATGTTTCTCAGAGCAATGTTAACATGCCCCATCGCAGGGATCATAACATACATGTTAATTGAAAGTCAGGGCTATATTTCACGAGAAAATATATGTGTCATTAGCTGGTGCAAGTCAAGGCGTCACAAGCATTTGATCATATGGGTCACCCCTTCCTCTCTAACACCTTCCAGGAAACGTTGAACTACGTTCTACATAAGAATTTTTCTGACATTGACACAATCCGGTTTGTAAAGATCCAAAGTGTGGCAATTAATTTTAGACGTTTCCCCCCCTCAAGAGTTGGTTTTGACATCTGGAGGGTGTTTTCAAGGTAATACCGATCTGTGTTTATATAACTCAAGTGGTCTGGTGGAATTTCCCGCACCATTCGTCAATGGGAATGAGATCATAATGATCAGGTATCATTTATCATAAATAATTATTAATGGAGTTGTAATTATTTAGACACTGGATTCTGTCCCAGATTAATACAGCACGTTAATTAACTAGGAATGTTTGCTCCTTTGCACCTGCAAAAATTCATTGTATTTTCCTTTGGGCTTTTATCTTGCCCCAGTGCAGCTAAAACCTATAAATGCCAGTCTGGCCCACAGCCGAACAGGGGGGTTGGGGGGAAGGATTTGTCGTCTATCCTCTGGCAGGATGTTGGAACAGGAAAATGTTCTGGGCAAAGAGAACTGTGAGGATCACGACGGAAGAAAACCTACTTGCTTGGCCAGTACAGGTACCGTTTTTGGGAGAAAGGAGATACGCAAGCTTATGATTTCACTTTTTAGACTTCTGTGGACTTGTAACAACACTGCAAGGCACTTCAGACACAATGTGTCTTAGCATCTTTATCTCAAAACCAGCACCTTCATAATACTCATCCTTTCAAGTTATGCCGATTTGAAGTGTTTCTTTTTATGCACGGTTGAAGCTCTTACTCATCAAACACGCCACTGTAAGCCCTGGCGTAATTATAATGTTTCAGAAACACAGCACAGTGGTTAAGAGCAGAAAGAGATCAGCAACCTATAACCCATGGGCCGAATCTGGCCCTCTGCTTATTTTTATAAATAAAGTTTTTATTTGTGCACCGCCACACCCATTCGTGGACATATGGTCCGTGGCTGCTTTCCTGTTACAACAGGAGAGTCGAGCTGTTGGGATAAAAATCATCTGGCCTCCAAACCCAGCAACATCGGTTCTCTAGCCCTTTACAGAAATGCTTGTGAGCCCTTGGGTAAGAGCTTGTACCCTGCAGATTTCCGAACCCTGCCTTCTCTGAGTTTTATGACCTTGTGCCAATGGGCACGTGCCTTAGCCGTCTCATCTGTAAAGTGGGAATACCAGCCCCTGCCTTTGTGGGGCTGTTAGGACAAACGAATGAGTTAACGTCTGTAGAATGCTTAGACCAGCGCCTGGCACAGTGATGCTAGATGAAGGCTGGTGAAATAAAAATAAAATAGCTCCCTTTTTCAGCAGTAGCCAACAGGTGTTTGCGAGACGGCCAGCCCGAGTGAGGGGGGCAGTCTGTGGCTGTGGAATAGACAAGGTCAGTTTTGTGAGATTAACTGGGCAAGGTTAACTAATCCGAGCGCGGACACCACGCCCTGCCCGACAGACACCTTAGGTTTAGAAAGCTCACTGGACTGAGGGCACTGTGCTGGATCTAACGGACCTTTGGAAGCAATTTCCAGCCCATGATCACTGTTTCACCCTCTCGGCTCCTCTCGGCTCTTGGCTATTTGCGGTAATCGGCCCAGTCCAGAATCACAAAACGTACAGGGAAACAGAAAGTAGTTTCTTTAAAAGTCAAAGAGTAGTGTTTTAGAGTAGGAATCAGCTGATGATTTCGGTAAAGGGCTGGTGAGTTCATATTTTCGGCTTTGTGGACCATAGGGTTTGATCTTAACTGCTTGACTCTGCTGTGGGTCACAAAGGCAGCCATAGACAACGTGGAAAAAACGGGCGTGTTCCCATAACACTTTATTTACAAAAACAGGCCTGGGGCCCAAGGGCTATAATTAGCTGACTCGCATTTTAAGGCATGAAAGAGCAGTATCAGCATACTAGCTCTCCTAGGGACCAGGACTCTAACATCTTAGCTGCAATTTGTGGAGTAAATTTAAAAAAAATGGATGGACTTAAACCCAGTTGGGTTCCTTACTGGCTGAATGGTAGATCAGATGACTCCTTTGCAGATATTCACTCCCTCCTCTCACCTCCAAGGGAGGAATACACTTCCCTAGACCACTGGCTTTGGGTTTGGCTATGTGACTGGCTTTGGCCGATCAGAAGTTAGCAGACGGTAATGTAAGCAGAGGCTCCTTGAGAAAGACATGGCCTGGGTGTCCCTCGCGTCCAAAGAGGATGAAGAGACACAAAGAACGGACCTAGATCCAACCTGCAGCTTGAAGCAAAGCCCGGTTGGGATTAGCCTTGAAAGCTAACCCACGGATGTGCGTGGTTAGTGAGGGATAATAAGTGACTACTGTTGAAGCCACTGAGCTTCGGGGTGCTTGTTATGCAGCATTACCATAGCAACAAAAGACTAAAAAAGCTTTCTGCGTATTATCCTTCAAGATGGGCTCTGGTATGGATGAGTGCTCCAACACAGTACAGCGTAAGACGTGCCTTTTGTATAACGGGACGACGATAGATATAATTGCCTACCATGTGCTTCCGCTTATGACCACCTCCCAGTAATGCCGACCGCTATCAATGAACACATTTCCAGCGACACCATAGCTCCCTTGGCTGGTGAAGCGTTCAGGCGTGTGGCTCTTTTTGGATGACGACTCATCACGTTCTACTGTCAAGTTGTCGTGGGACACCTTCAGCTTCCGATGTGCAGATTTGGGGTCCAGTTTAAATGGTTGGCCTGGGAACGAGTTTACAAAACAAAAAGAGGAAGAAGAAAAGGACTGTTAATTTTGACACGACCAAGGATGTCTCTTCCGAATCAGATTTTAAAAACACCGTAAAACAGTGGATACGAACGTGTCCCTGCCTTCATGACCTCCTTTCCCATCAGTCCCGAGACAGGGATCCAGAGTTGTTACACCTAAGGACTCAACAGTAGCATGGCCGGGGCTCAACCACAGCTATCATCATGGGTCCCAGCTGGACCCAAGCAGCACAGGAACATACCGGACAAACAGCGTCCCAAAAGGAAGGAGAAAATGAAGACTTCATTTTCAACCATTCCCATATTCAGTCCAGCTTAAAATGTGGCTCATGCTCAGTAGACTTCAGACCAGAAACCAAAGAAATCAAGATGGCTGATTTTGGCAGATGGAATATTCTATAGGCTTTATGTTATTCCGAAATTGTTGAAAATTAAAAATTATTCCCATGAGCTCAGAATGGTTATAGAGATGTGTACTTGGGGGACGCCTGGGTGGCTCAGTCGGTTAAGCATCCGACTTCGGCTCAGGTCATGGTCTCAGGGTTTGTGAGTTCGAGCCCCGCATCAGGCTCCGTGCAGACAGCTCAGAGCCAGGAGCCTGCTTTGGATTTTGTGTCTCCTCTCTGTCTCTCGCCTGCTTGTGCTCTCTCTTTCTCTGTCAAAAGTAAATAAATAAACTTTAAAAACAAAAAAGAAATGTGTATTTTTCAGCCCACAACAAGGTCAGGAAAAAAAAAACCGTGATCCTAACACCTGTGTTTTCTACTCCTGAGTTATACGTGTGTGTGTGTGTGTGTGTGAACACATAATTCAACAAATATGAAATAAAAAAATATATACAATAAGGCTCTCTCTACCTCTCTATTTCATTAATCACATTTGTGTTTTGAAGATCGAACCACTAGAAAACCTTGACAGAGTCCCACCTGAACGTCTTGTCATGGCTGCTGTCACTCCTTTGAGGATTTAACCCTGGTTTGCAGAACCGCCCGCCATTTGACACCACATCGGGCACAAGCTTCTAAAGGCCGGAAATGAGTTACGAGAGGAGGCAAATACCATGATGTCCCGACCCCGAAGCCACTGGAAAAGTTTGGGAAGTTGCTGTGGCGACACATGATGTTGCTGAGAACCTGACACTGAGGGCCTGGGGGAAGGCGTGTTAGGTCACGCGCAGAGGATTTCCAGCCGCCACTTGGATGACACTGGCACCTCTGAAATCCTTTTAGATCAGGGGCCGGCACATCTTTCTGGTGAGAGGCCGGATAGGTATTTTCAGCTCTGCTGGTCATGTGGTCGGTCTCTTCGGTGGATGCTTAACAATGCTGTCGTGTTACGGAAGCATCCAGAGACAAGAGGTATGAGGATGGGCGTGGCTGTGTGCCAATAAAACTTTTTGTATAAAAACAGACAGCCAAATCTGGCTGGTGGGCTGTGGTCTGCTGCCCCATGTTAGATTTCTGTCCCCATCACAGAAAAGGTTAAAGGGGGAGCTGAGAAAATCTTCAAGTGTTGATCAGGGCATGGACATTCTCAGAGGCTGTAAGGCCTGCTGGATTACCCATGTAGTTTAAATTTCAGCTTGTCTTGTGAAATAAAAACGTCCTCAGGAGCGATCACACCAGCAACTATTAGGGATGAAGTATGAACTAAGGCAAGAAGAACATGAAGATAGTTTTGCTTAAAATGTTTCAACTTTTTTTTTTAAATGTTCTTATCTTATTTTGAGAGAAAGAGGGAGAGACAGAGCACGAGCGGGGAAAGGGCAGAGAGAGAGGGAGACACAGAATTCGAAGCAGGCTCCAGGCTCTGAGCTGTCAGCACAGAGCCCGACACGGGGCTCGAACCCATGAACCGTGAGATCATGACCTGAGACGAAGTTGGCCACTTAACCAACTGAGCCACCCAGGTGCCCTCTAAAATGTTTCCACTTTTAAACGTGGAAGACAGAATGTATGTAAAAATAAGTGGACACTAATGGGCAGACTAGGAGGAAATCTCATAAAGGCTGCCATCGCTGAAAATGAGGGCCGTGTTCTGGTCTTCTTCCAGTGAGGAATATCAGACTGTTATAGCCACCAGAGAGATTGGCCTCATGGGGTCCCTGGGTGGCTCAGTCAGTTAAGCGTCTGACTTCAACTCAGGTCATGATCTTGCGGTTCACAAGTTCGAGCCCCATATCGGGCTCTGTGCTGACAGCTCAGAGCCTGGAGCCTGCTTCGGATGCTGTGTTTCCTTCTCTCTCTGACCCTCCCCACTCAATCTCTCTCTCTCTCTCTAAAAAATAGGCATTAAAAAAAAAAGAAAGAAAAAAGAAAGAAAGATTGGCCTCATAATGGTGAGATGTATCCTGTCTCGTCTCAGCTCACACCTTCACCTACACATTCACGATCATGCCAGCCTAGGTCAGGCCCAACCCCTGCACCCTCAGCGAGCAAATTCCACCTGTGCCTCAGCTGCGTTTCTCAAACAAACCATCACCTGCTCTGTCCAAGTCAAAGGATTTTGCTTCAATGCAGACAAATTAGTTCAAGGAACAAATTAATCATTTACTTTATATGAAAGAATTCAATTCACTGTAATATTCGCACACGGAAGAGTTTGGCCAACTATGGCCTGCGGGCCAAGTCCAGCACACTGCCTGTGTTTGTCAATAAAGTTTTATTGAAACGCAGCCATGCCCATTCATTTATGTGGAGCCTATGGCTGCTTTTGCACTACAGTCGCAGAGCTGGATACGAGCGGAAGGTGACCGAGACCATCTGACCTGCACAGCCCCAAATATTTACTGTTTGGCAGCCTGTAGAAAAAGCCTGCCAACTCCTCGTGTAGAACTTGCTAACATCTGTTCAATGACTGCATGTCTAGAACTAGAAGATGACATTATCTGTCTACGTGTAATGAACACATTATCTTTAAGGTTTACTATTTTAAACTGATGCAGCACAAATAAGACGTTGCCAAGATACAGTCTACAGGATTAACCTCGGTGTAGGTATTTACTTCTTTTGTTGTTCCTACTCAATCTCTAAAAACATGTCCTCCTTTACCGGCAGAAACACGGAGAGGAGAGAGTAGCTTAGTGACTAAGAGTATGTGCCTTAGGCACCTATGTCTGGGGAAAAATAGAGTTCTTTGACCACCGAAATCAAGGCTTTGGGGTACGTGAGGGTTCCCCTCGAAAAGCAGTTCCCTGTTCCTATTGAGTAGCGGACAACCTTCTAACATGGCGCTGTACTGACACACTCCAATTTGCTTTCTCTCGGGAGGTCCTGGGCAAAGAAACTCCATGTTATAGAACATATTTCTAGATCAAAAATAGGAAAAAAAGAGAGGATAAAACAAAACACATGTGGGCAGAGACAGAGAGGGAGGCGACGGTGTTACCAGATACATGTAGCGGCCAGATCTTTCTTTGTTGTGTCCTGTGCGGCGCGGGATGGTTCCCATCATCCCTGGCCTCTAAGCACTAGATACCAGTAGCATCCGCCCCCGTTGTAACAACCCCAAATGTCTCCAGACATCGCTCCATATCCCCGGGGCGGGCAGAATCGCTTCTGACTGAGAATCACAGACCTAGACAGATATCTGGGGTAAAGTAAAGAATTCCTGAAGAAAGAGCTGTTCATTTGTTCTTCTGCTGTGGAAAACGATACTACTGGGGCGCCTGGGGGGCTTAGCTGGTTGAGCGTCCCACTTCCGCTCAGGTCACGATCTCACAGTTCGTGGGTTTGAGCCCCGTGTCGGGCTCTGTGCTGACAGCGAGCTCAGAGCCTGGAGCCTGCCTCAGATTCTGTGCCTCCCCCTCTCTCTGCCCCTCCCCTGCTCACACGCTGTCTCTATCTCTCAAAAATACCATTAAAACAATTTTTAAAAAAATGAGCAGTCTGAAGTGCAGAGAGATTGATGGACTCACAGCCCTTAAGGGAGTCGAGTCAGTTTTGGAACCCCATTAATGTCTGATGCAAACAACACCGCTCCACACTGGCTCTTTACTTGCTTCTTGAGGCTGTCGGCAATGCCGGAGGCAGAGAACAGGAACAGAAAGGGGGACCGAGGCAGCTGAGAGGAGGGGGCGGGGGGCGCGGGGCGACAGCTCGGCTGAGCTCGCGGCACTTACTGTTTGTCTTCAACTTCCCAGGCTCGCTGCTGCGGCTGCCTGCCTGGTTGATGGCCTTGACGATGAAGATGTACTTGGTGCCGCTCTGCAGCCCGTGAACGGTATAGTGGTTCTGCTTGATGTTAGGCACGATCATCCAGCTATCGGCAGAGTTACACAGACCTGCAAGACCAAGCAGACACGGCGTAGTGCTTTGGTACAAGTGTGGGGCGACATCTGCATAACTCCAAGTCTGTGTAATTCGGGGTTATTTGAACCGGAAATGGAGTGCCGTGTCATTTCTGGGGGAGACGGCTAACACGCTCGCGGGCTCAGTCTCCTGCCTGCAGTAGGTGATCAACCTGCATTTATTATTATATACTCCTATCACATGCTCTAAATGGAAAAAACCCATTAAAATGATTATATTGTGGGGCAGCTGGGGGTGGGGGGCTCAGTCGGTTGAGCCTCTGACTCTTGGTATCAGCTCAGGTCATAATCTCACGGTTTCGTGGGTTTGAGCCCCTCATCACGCTCTGTGCGGAGCCTGCTTGGAATTCTCTCTCTCTCTCTCTCTCTCTCTCTCTCTCTCTGCCCCTTCCCCACTCATGCTGTCTCTGTCTCTCTCAAAATAAATAAATAAACTAGAAAAAAAAGCATTAAAAATTACTGTATTGGACATTCTGTTCAGGGTAAATAGAAGCAGCAAAGGCGGTTCTGTCTGGTATCTCGTGCACGTACGCATGTGCGATGCGTTGTTAGGGGCCGGGGCGGCGTAAAGAAAGCAGCGAGCTCTCGCCGGGTCCACTCTCTGCACCCTCACCTCACGCTCTCGTTACAGGAATCATTACAATTTGCATCTCATCAATTATGAGACTCGGGGAGGTGAGAAGAGACCTCCTCATCGTGGATGAGAGGCCGACTGCACTAACGTAGATGTAATAGGTGGCATTTTTGCCTCTAATTTGTTACCCTGCCTAGGATCCAGGCCTGAGTGACTTCGCAGTGGCTCGCTCCTTAGGACACGGCCTTCAATCTGGCCGTGTGACTGGGATGAGGCCGAGGTGGCGATGTGCCAGCTCCAAGAGCAGGCATTACAAGGTCCTGAGACTTTCTGTTGACCCCTCGGGCCTCTGTCTTCGCCATGGGGAGAACATACCCCAGATAGTCTGCCCATCGCGGCAGGATGAGAGACACAGGGCACAGCTCTCCTGGCAGCCAGTGCCCGAGGGAGGCCAGCAGAGACCGGCCCAGCCTCACACAGGGCAGCCAAGAGAGTGATCAGCCGGGCTGTCTGCGTTCCAGACTCAGTGTGGCCGTAACTAACCAGCTCGGGAGTCACGGTCCCTGAGAGACCCCTGGAGCGGGCAGCTCAGGGCCCAGTGCGGCTCTTAGAAAGGCAGGCACGGGGAGTTTTGAGCAGCTGCGTTCCCTGGCATGGCTGGTTTCAGAGCCGAGCTCTGGCTGCATTCTGCAGGATGCGGGTTGGGGGGCGGGCGGAGGATTTACGAGGCTTGGAAGAACATGGAGGGAAAAGGAAGCCCGTTTTGTACTGCAGCTGGCTGATGCGGAAAACATCTCTTTGGTATTGGGCCCAACTCTCGTCTCTCCACCCATCAATCTCCACTCGCTCTAGAGAACCTTTCCCCAGCCCTCTGGCGACCGGCTGTCATGAAGTTTCCTGACTCTGGTGAATTTCCTTCACCATTTCTTGGTAGAGGGCTGGGCCCCTCCACTTCCTGAGGGGCTCCCAACTCCCCCCACCCCCACTCTTTCCCTTTCAGTGGATTTGCAAGTCAAAGGGTTAGTTCTTTTGATCTTGAGGCAACTTATACCTTACCGTAATCCCAAGAAGCAATCCCTTCATCTTTTTTGGTCTCACCTCTTTGAGAATCTAATAAAACATTTCTAAAGAAAGAAAGTCACATGTGCATTTCCATACCAACCCACAAATATTTGCATAGCATTCCAAGGTATTCACAGCCCCGTGACATCTGTCTTTGAATCCTACTAAATGCTTTGCTCCAACCCTGGAGCTAAACAGTGTCCGTGGTAATCTCACAGTTGGGAGGAACCTTGAAAGTATTTTGTCAAGTGTGAAATTTCACCTCGGATGGTTCGTACCTTGGGTGCATAGTATTTTTAGACACACTTCAGTGACTCATAGATATGTATGACCCTGTGAGTTTTCTGTCACCTCTTTTCATCTCCACCTGTGAACATTTCACCAGGAGGACCGCCAGACTTGATAAAGCCAGCGCAAAGCAAGGGGACAATGTGAGACTCACAGAAGGGGTTGGTTGAGTGTGTGTCGGAGATGTGGTGACTAACAACGAAGGCACCATTGGCCGCCACCTCTCCCGCAGTTTCCCCCTAACTCTTAGCCCTCTGTTCTCCTATCGATTCTCACTTGCGTGAGACCCAGGAAAACATGCATAAGTGGTTCAGTACACGGGACTCTCCTTAACCACCTATTTCTTTGGATGCTTTTCCAACCTTACCTTTCCCCTGAATGTAGCTGCAAGAAACTCAATGCTTCTGGATAGTGGCAAGGCCAGATAAGAGATTTTGATCCAACCAAAGGGTCATTTTTGAACCCTGAGCTCTGGGCCCCAAAGGAGCCTGTCTAACTCACTTTAGACATTTAATAATAATCTTACGGTAGTAATAAAACAAAGACAACGAGCTTTTCTATTGCCTAGGATCATCCACTCACATGGCTAGACCTCGGTCAACAAGCAGTCAAACACGAACGAACATAACAGCACTCAGGAGAATCAAATGAGAGTCCTATCAATGTCACTGCTTTTACACTGGTCCCGTTTAATTGCCTTATGTTACAGTAAAGTGACTATTGTGGTTAAACAAAGCCAACGTGAAAATGCATCAATAAACTTTACATCACTTACAACCGAAAAGCTGGGCTTGATGCGGTGGGAGAACACTTTCAGCCACATCCTAAAGCAGATGTCTGAAATTGCGACAAACAAGCATCTTGGCCTATAATCCAAAGTCTTAACCCGACAGAAAAGATTTAATGTTTCAGAACGATTTCCTGAACAGAAAAGGGAGCCTGACTATCCTGATTATTTTGAAGAGGTCACTAATTTTTTCCCCCTTGAATATTAAAAGAACAAAATGTTTACGGCGTAGTCAAATGTGATCGGATAGCTTTTCACGGGGACAATCTGCTTTTGTGAATACTCACTGTTCCTGTTTAGCCTTACCTTGCTGTTATTATTATTGCCGGGGTAATAATCGAGGAGTTGATGGAAAATGCTAAGAAAGCAACATCGACCATTTTCTTTAGGGGGCTGGAGTAAGTGGGGTGCCTCGGAGTACACGGTTATTGCGTTGCTAGGGTTGGCCTTGTGCCAGCACCATATAACTTCTTGTACTTGGTGCCGAGGGCCAGATCTCTCTGCCTCGATAGCCCGCTGTGTTGGGGCTGATGACCGCGTTTTCTTCACCTCTTTATGAAACACCCATGTAACCATCCTGACTGAAACTTCCCTTTTCTCCAAATTCGTTTTCAATCATCTTTGAGAATATTCCAGCATTCACCTTCTCGAATTCAGCTTGAAGTATTAAAACAACAATGGAACTTGGAAGATAATTAGCTCATAATGAGACTTAATTGAGTTTTTCAATTTTATACATTTTGTTCTCATTCACAACGGGTCAGAAGCATTTCCCCACATAATGCCGCTCATTACAAGATCCTAATTACATTTGGGATTTCAGAGCCTTGTATAGCAACTGTCATCTTGCAGTAAAACATTATGTATAAAACATAACGCAACACGAACACCCTTCTGAGAGGCTGTGCACCGGCTGCTAACATCCTTTGTTTCTTTTAACAGATTGGACAGAAGCGTACGTTCTTTTCCTCCTTCTCTATCTGTTTAATAACTTGCACGAATGTTTTCAAAGTGACTAAAATTAATTAAATACAGATAACTGCTTTGCCATAACCACTTGGAGAAATGCATCTTTTGACTTTGGCTAATAATAAAAACAGGCTGCTGGGAAAAGGCCCCATTTAGGATTGCAAATGGTGCATGGGAAGTCGTTCTGGAAAAAAAAATGAAAAACGTTGCAAAATTAAATACATATCTACTTATTAATAAGCAATTCATTTACATCTGTAGTCGTCAGTCTGTTAATAAAAATGCATAATAAAAAATTAATAGCGTCATTAATTTTGCATTTGAATATATGAATTTGATTAGGGTGAGCCTTTTTATAAGATTAAAAGCTGCACAGATATTATCTAGTTCTCCTTCACCAAAGTCAGTTGTGGGCAATTAACTAGTATTTATTATGACAAGTAAAGGCACCAATGACCTACAGGCAGTAGAAGATTCCATGACCAGTTTGGGAACATTATGCCTTCGAATTTTCCGTACAGTTTTACTATTAGATCTTGTCATTCAATGTGACATCTGCAAAAAATATTCCTCCAAACGGTCCTCCAAACGGACAGATGGACAGACAACATTCAGCGAAGGGCTTTCACGTGACGATTCTGTAAAATGTTATTGTGTAGATAATCCAAATGTCACGACGGACCTTTCCCATATGACCAAAAATATCAGCTGCTTTTTTTAAGTTTTTTTTTTTTTTTTAACATTTATTTCTTTTTGAGAGACAAAGAGAGACGGAGCACCAGCAGGGAAGGGACATGGGGCGGGGGCGGGAGTTGGGGGGGGTGCGGTAGACACAGAATCCGAAGCAGAGGCTCCAGTCTCTGAGCTGTCAGCACTGAGCCCGACCCGGGGTTCAAACCCACGAACCGTGAGATCATGACCTGAGCCGAAGTCGGCCGCTTAACCGACTGAGCCACCCGGGCGCCCCAACTTTTTTTAAAAAACAAAAAGGCAATGATGGGTGACTGCAGTCTATGTTTTCGTACGAATAACAACTTTGAATATTTATGTGCTAACACGGTGGCAAACGCGAGGCTAAGACCTATACTTTTGTTATCTCAACCACATGAAGGTAAAACATTACCTCTTCTTACAGGTGAGGACATAGATTCAGAGGACGTTAAATAATTTGCCCCCAAATTATGGAGCTAGTGAGGTCCAAAGTTGGGATTCAAATCCAGGTCTCTCTCTCAGTCCCTACAAACATGTATAATAGTTAAGAAGAAACTAATTTGCATCTCAATTGCCTTTTAAAAATGTTTTTTAATAGGGTTTTTTTGAGAGAGAGCGAGCGCGAGCACGTGCGCGCATGGGGGAGGGGCAGAGAGAGAGGGGGAGACAGAGAATCTGAAGCAGGCTCTATGCTGTCAGAGCAAAGCTTGACGTGGGCCTTGAACCCAGGAGCCGTGAGATCATGACTTGAGCATAGTTGGACGTTCAACCGACTGAGCCACCCAGGTGCCCCTCAATTGCCTTTTAATCTAAATTTATTCTTTCATTGTTACAATTTTATCCTGTAGGCCTCAGGACTTCACTATACTGGCTTAATGGACATTCAAGAGACAACTAACTCTTGATACCAACAAACTGATGAGCGTACTCCGGTTAGATGAGCACCTGCAATGTCCCTGTTTTCCATCCGTCCTGGGACAATGGCCTTTTTGGCACCCGTGCAGTAAATAAGCAAGGCCCATCATCTTCAGGATGTCATTCCCATTGATTTTCTTGTGGCTACCGCTCTCAGGGAACAAAATGCCTTCTCTGGAATCACCGAGCATAAAGCTCTGAATTCAGTAGTGTTGCTGCTGTCGGATTTCTGTGGGCATGGCCTTTTCTCCTCTCTTCCACTTATATGTCTTCTTCTGGTATTATTTTTCATGCCCACAGCATGGAAGCCAAGTCAGTCACAGTTCAGTCACCTGAGAAGCCCTAAGTTTCAAGCAACACATCTCTTCTTTTCCTTCTGGAGATGGAGAAGGAGGGTGCTGGTATGGAGTCAGGGTTCTAGAGTGGACTGCCTTCCAGCTCCACTTCGTTGTTCCTCGCTGTATCCATCCCCTATGTGATGGGACCTTGTAGGCCCTCGTGTTCTGACCCTGCCCTCACCCTTGGGCCTTGCTTTGGCCTGTGGCACATCAGCTAACACGAGAAAGGCAGGGGCTTGCAAAGCATGTGGGCAAGTGGGCCTGCCCTCCCACCCGCATGCCGCGATCATCAGGAGGAGGTGCCTGAGTGGGACCTCGGGAGGGCGCTGTGTGCAGCAGCCAGACCATGATGGAGCCTCCCCAAGGTCAGCGGGACCTTCTAGTGGACTCCCACCAGGTTCCGGACACACAAGCAATACGTGTTTATTGTTATATGCTCCTTAGGCCCTGTGGTTTTTGGCTGTTTGGCAAAAGCCAGTTGATACAAAGGGCCGACAGCGCAGGCCAAGGCTCTATGCACTGTCCAAACGCTCATAATCATTTGATGTAAGACACCTCAGGAAAGATATAACCAGCTGTGGTGGATATGCTCTTGGGTAGCCGCCATGATTCTCACTCTATCCTATTCATGGTTTTGTGTAAAGCAAGACCTGTGGCCTGCTTCTAACCAAGAGAATATGGCAAAGGACAAAAGTCTTACTCTCGTTATCAGTCCTGTGGTTTTACGTTATACGGCAAAGGTGGAGGGAGTTTGCAAGATGTAGTTTAGGCCCCTAATCAGTCGTCGCTGAATTCATCATAAGAGATTATTCTGGGTGACAAAAGCAAGGCAAGGAGCTGCGTATGGCAAGCTACCTTGTGCGTCCCTAAAAATGTTTCTATGTGTGTGTGAGTATGTGCATATGCCTGTCTATGAACAGACGACCACAGGGAAGAAGCATGTGAAATAGAATTGATGTAGTGGGTAACTTTCGTGTTTCTTTCTTTTAATATTTTTCTTTTCTTTTCTTTTCTTTTTTAAGTTTATTTATTTTGAGAGAGAGAGAGAGAGAGAAAGAGAGAGGGGGGAAGGGGCAGAGAGAGAGAATCCCAAGCAGACTCTCCACGGTCAGTGCAGAGCCTTGACTTGGGGCTCGAACTCACGAACCGTGAGATCATGACCGGAGCTGAAATTACGAGTCAGATGCTCAACCGACTGAGCCCCCCAGTGGGTAACTGTGGAACCGAGGTGGCTGGCATATTGAAAAGCATCCGATTTTCACTAGATACATTTTATACATTATTATACAGTGTTCATGCACTGCTTACTAAAAAGGAGGATTTTAGGGAATTCGTGTTGCTTCACGATTTGGAGCGGGGCATGCAAGGCTAGGGATGAGGAGCAATTCCAGAAGAATCGAAAATTTCAAAAGAAGAGCAAAATGATGGCGGACCACCGATATCCTTGTGCCTCTGAGACTTGCCCCCAAAGGCACTTCCAACAGCTGAAGATAGTAATGGTGTTTCCCGCGGATACGGGTGAGAGGTGAAGTCTTTCTGGAATGATCTTCCCTTCCCTTTGACTTCTTTGGTGCTGGTGCCACTGGCAGGGCTTGGTCATCTGTGTCTCCGTGAACTACTACACGCCTCCCAGTCGCGTCTCTTGCTTCTAGTTTCGCCCTGTCCCGCTCCATCCTCGCCCGCACTGCCGAAGATGGCTGCCCACCGACCATCTGATCGCGCTGCTGCTCTGCGTGACACCAAGCCCACAGGGGGAAACCCAACACCCTGTGGCCAGGGTGGCCCTCTGCGGTCCAGGCCTTTACTGTGGGTTAGGATTCAGAGACTGATGATTAAGAACATGTGCTTCCTGGAACCAGACCTACGTGGGTTTGGGTCCTGGTTCTACCACTCCGTCTTCATTTCGCACCGTCTCCCCTTCCTCGCTCAACGCTCCAGCCAGGCCTCACAGGGGATATCTCAGAAATCGCCTGGCCATTCTGCGTCGCTACGGGCCTGTCCCTGATGAGGCGGCTGCCCGGCATCCCCTTACCTTTCTGATCCACACCTACTCTCTTTTGAGACTTAGGCCGTCATTTCCCCCACGACGTTTCTGTTACACCCGCCGCTTCTGCCGTTTCCTCTCTGCTCCCAGGCAGCCGGCCAAAGCTGTTCTCAACGTTTCATGGGTTTCCCCCTTACGCATTCTTGGAAAATGGTAAGATTTTAATAAAGCTTCCAAGGCAGGCCAATTAGGGAGTGGAGGGTCAGAGGGCCGAGGAGGGAAGCCTGGGAAACGAGACTATAAGGAACCCGGGGGGTCCGTTTGTTGGCATGATCTTCAGTTACTCAGAGGTGGGGGTCATCGCCCATCACGCTTTTAATTAATCCTACACCTCATTTCTTTTTTAAACATCCCCCGTCTCAGAATTATCTCAGAATTACATGTGCAGAGGAAAGAACAGTGTGGTGAAGCGAGAAGAAGTTTACATAATAAAAGCACATTAAGTTGATACTGATTTTTTCAAAACACTTCTTTGTTGAAAAGTGGCTTCTATTCTATTCTATTCTATTCTATTCTATTCTATTCTATTCTACTTTGACATGCTCTATGTTAATCTGCTAAAGAGGCTTCAAACTTGTTCCCCTGAAAAGCCACTTCTGGTCCTTTTCCATTTACTCAACTCAATTGAAATAACTAGGGGTGGGGAGGAGAGATTTCTTTGTGATCACCTCTCTGGCCAGCAACCAGGGCGATTTGAGATAATCAAATTGTCTCTGAGACCAAATATCTCATGGGCCCCAGGGAGAGAGGGGCCTCTCCGTGTTTCGAGCAAGGTCTGAAATTCTTCCCAGGTGGGGGCCAGTTACTCGCATTTCAAATGATAGGCCTGCTCTCCTCCAAAGGGGACGTGGGGTTTGGCATTGTTTGCCTATCCATGTTATTAAATTCTTTTTTTTTCACATTGTGAAACAACACTCGGAAAAGTACATAAAACTAAACGTATGATACAATGACTAAACCATGTAACGCCCACCCAGAAAGTACCGCTAACCCCACGAACCCCCCATATATTGCTTCCCAATGTGCCACTCCCCTCCCAGCCGGGCAGTAACCACCGTCCTCACTTCTACTTCTAGTTGTTACACGAATATAGGCCTCTCTAAACAAAATAGTTTCATCTTTAAATTATGAATGTATAAATAGACTCGTGTTGCATGGATTCTTTTGTTTGTTTTCTGCTTCTTTCTCTTATATGTTTGTAAGATTCATCCATGTGGTTGGCTAGAGATCATTAATTTTCATCACTACTGGGCCAGCTATTTTTGCTAGCAGAGTACAAGTGAATACCATCATCTTAATGGGGTAAGGCAGCCAACAAATACTGTGGATTCTTTCCTTGTCTTCCCTTGATATTTCAATTTAGAAATGCAATCTATCTGGAAACAGTCACCCAAAAGAGAGATCGATAGGGTATGCGATACTCACTAACGACATTGGCTTGTCCAGTGAATATGGTGTATTGGAGCTCGTAGGAAACCACACTGAATTCATCATCGGAGGCCCAGTGGACAGTGATGGTGTCGTAGGAAGCTGTGCAGAGCTCTTCTCTAATCGTGGGAGGGTTGGGAGCTGTAGGGAGCAAGAACACTCATCAGCGAAGAAGCAGGCACCTCTGGGATACACTCCAGAGGAGATGTGGGACAGCCACAGCAGGCCTTTCTAACCGGGTCCATCAGGACCACCGTCTGAGAGACGGTGGCCCCGATCCAAAGAACATTTGGTTGGCTGGTTATCGCTGTGATTTCTAACAGGTAGCGTGACTGCAGCCAGCCAGGAGGGACTTCGCTCTATCATGAAAGCAGGTTTAGGAGATTAAAGAAATAATACTCTTATCCATGAAAGGAAACCTGTTAGGCAAAAAGGAAACGAGATGAACTTTTGTGATTTCATCCACATTGGGAGGATGGCATACTTTTTCAGTAAAGGGCTAGATTTCAGTAAATGTTCTAGGCTTTGCGAGCTACTTAGTCTCTGTCGCAACTACTCACGTCTGCCCCTGCACTACGAAAGCAGCTGTAGGCAATTCATACTCAAATGGACATGGCCGGGTGCCAGGAGAACTTTATTTACAAAAACAGGTGAGCGCTAGATTTGGCCTGCGAGCCAGAGTTTGCCAGCCTCTGAGGTATGTGAGGCCAAGTATTTTTATATTTATGAAACCAACTGGAAAAATACTGATGTTCGTTATCCCATAACACACCAGCCAAATCATTGTTTGAAAATTGTCTTTCATTAGGTGTTTTTTTTAAAAGTTTATTTATTTTGAGAGAGAGAGAGAGCGAGAGAGCGAGCAGGGGAGGGGCAGAGAGAGAGAATCCAAGCAGATTCTGCGCTGATCACACTGTCAGCGCGGAGCCTCACTTGGGGCTCAAACTCACGAACAGTGCGATCATGATCTGAGCCGAAATCAAGAGTTGGACGCTTAACCCGCTGAGCCACCCAGGCACCCCTTTCATTAGATGTTTTGATGCCTTATAAAAAAAAAACCAAAACAAAACCCTTATTAGCATGGCCCTATTTTCTTCTCATTTTTAAATTTATAGGTGATATTTCAAATTAAGAAGAACATGACTAACAATCGATCATATCTAAGAAGTACATTTTCCCTCCCCAAAGAAAACATGATTCCTTGGCATTTGGTTAACTCTATCACTGGAGAAGGCTGCTGTTTTATGTCTCGAACGCAGTCTGGAGCAGAGAAGTCTAAATCTTACCAAAATAATTATTTTAAGTTGATTTAAAACCTACCGGCTTGATTTCAGTAACTGGTTTTATGAGAAGAGTTTGTGAGCAAGAAAAAGACTAGGCAGTGAGTGCTTTGCACTGGCAATAATCTTTTAGAGCAGGAGTTGGCAAACTATGGCTATGGGCCAAATCTGGCCCACTGCCTATTTTTGTAAATAAAGTTTTATTGGAACACAGCCAGGCTCATTCATTTACGTATTGTCTGTGGCTGCTTTTGTGCAATAGCAGAGTTGAGTAGTTGGGGCCATATGTCCTGCAAAGCCTAAAATATTTACCATCTGGCCCTTTATAGTCAAAGTTGGCCAACCCCTGGTTTAGAGAACTGATACAGGCCTTTATTTCCACTCTTCTGTATACTGGAACCTAACTTCAAAAAGGAGAAAATTTCGGCATTCTACAGATGGGTAGCAACCTCTGTTTACACGATTGCAACGTTCTTTCCTGCTCTAAATTTCGATTAGGATTGATGAGGCCTAAACAAACCCAACGAAGGAGAGGAGTTTGTAAAAATGGCAAACTTAAGACTCTAATTGTTTTCGTAGTCTTCATTTTGCCCGAAGGTATATTCAGGACAAATATGGCACGCGGCAAGTATGAAGTCTGTTCACCGTATAAAGTCACATAGACCAGCTTTGTCTCTTGGTTACTGTATTCTACAAACGTTATTAATGAGCACCTACATGTGGCGGGTGCTGCGTTAAGCTGTACATTAAGATAGAAAGGCTCGATAGAGCCTTTAAAGCATTCTTTCTGGGATATGTATTTATACACCTGTCTCCTGAAGCATCCACTACGCAAGATTTAGTGTCATGCACTGGGACTCAGATGCGCATGAATCAGCGACACCGATCCGGACATGCGTTCTGTGGGGGAGGCCCAGCTGCACCATAAAACATGCTTATTATTGTCTGTGTTACTGTGCGCTCACCCCGCATGGATCAGTGCAGAAACGCTTATTCTCCCATAATCTAAATAGTTCATTGAATTATTTTTCCATCCACCGCTGCAGAAAGGTTGTGTTCTCTCTGCCCTGCAGCATATGATTAAATATAAAGAAAACTTGTGTTCAAAATAAGCGAGTAGCTGGGAGGCACATGGCAGTTGCTGCAATCAGGGAAGAAATGTCACCTCTCCGGGTTATTAACTTGACAGACCACTTAGAGGCATGTCATAGGGAAAAAAAAAATCTTGTTTTCACAGCCACGCAGGCTAACCCTGTTTTGATTAGAAGCCCAATGGGTTTGTCCTGAAAAGTCAATAGCCAATTTACTGTAAATGAGACTAGCAACACGCGGCCAATTTCAATATTCATGGAATCGGTAGCAGAGGCGTTATTTTCTTGCCTCTGTCATGAATAGGACCCAAGAAATGGCGGGCTAATACTCTACAAACAGTTCGTTTCCTGCTTACGAATGTCTGATAAACTATTTGGACTTGGCAATATCAGCCAAGCATCACATGTTATGGCCGGGATCGATGTTATGTCTAGAAATGGACCAAATTTGTATTTGAGGTTGAGAGTTAAGAAGGCATAATAGCAGGTAGCCCATGTGATTTTTAGTTTGGCATAAACAGCCACTGGGGATGATATATGGTGCATACAGTACTAATCGGCACAAACTGCTTTCCCATTTTTCTCCTTTAATCATTACCCCGGCATTCGCTCAGAGATTAGCCCATGAAGGTGTGCCCACAGAAGTAGCATTAAACAATGACTGGGGACGGGAAGCACACACTCTGGTCAACAAGACACTGATTTTGTGCACAAAGGCCATGTGCCCAGCCAAACAGCGTTGCATTCTTCTTTGCCCTTGGGCTTGACCTTGTGACGTGGCTCTGGCCCACAAGACACAAGGGGGAGTTTGCTAGACGGGCCTTCCGAACAAGCTTCTCGTTTTCCTAATAAACAAAGACAAAGCCAGCTCACAGATCTTTGTCATTTCCCCTGTGTCCCTCTCTTTTTACCTGTAACTTGAGCATAATGCGTGGAGGTGGGGTAGCTGTGCTGGGGATCGTGTGGCGAAAAAGAAACACAAGGAAGATAGCAGAGCAGAAAAAGAAGACAGCCTGGAGGCTGCGGCCGTCAGTGAGCTGTTGCCCAGGCCCAGGACACACAGCTCCGTTCTCGTGTTCGTGTGATACAAACACTCCTTGATGGGTTTGGTCGCTAAGTGGATTTTCTGCGGTTGTGATCACACTCAATCCCAAATGATATAAGAAAAAAAAAGAGAGTTTTTAATCGGATGTCAGTATGAAAAACAGCTCAGCCAGAGAAAGTCTAGACCTGCACTGTCCAATGCGGCAGCCACGAACTCCATGCGGCTTTTTACATTTCCATTAAATTTAATTAAAGTGAAATAAAAGTAAAAATGCGCTGCGCACATTTCAAGTTTTTGATGGCCCCATGCGGTTAGCGGCTACCATAACGGACAGTGTAGATACAGAATGTTTTTGTCATTGTGGAAGGTTCTGTGGGGTAGAGTTAGTTTAGATCAATCTCAGAGTGAAAAGCTTAAAAAAGGAGGGCAGTATATTACTAAGTGTTTGAAAGCAAGTTTGCTTCCTTACTGCAAATGCATTTTTGAGTCAACATCTTTCTGCCCTAATGGGAGTGGTGTGGTTTGAAAGGATTACAGAAGATAAGAAGTTTGGTGGAAGACCGCTTCCCTTGCAGATGCAGAAAGGCTGAAAACAACACTCCGGGTTCTCGCGAAGAAAAAACCCTGTCTGGGTATAAGGCACATCTGGCTTCACTGTATATAGGGAGCCTTCCTGAAGTCATAGGCACCGGTGGCTTGGGCTAACACAAATAAAGGTCATCTAGACGGTCCACATGCTCCCAGCGAACGAGTTCAGGTCTCGTTCTAGAGGTTGACAGCAAAGAAAAATCTGGAAGCATGGTTAGGAGTGGGAGGAGCCCAAGGCTTTCTTTCATTGTTGTTTGCTTTTGTTTCTTAAGCTTGACCCCCCCAAATGCCTAATGGAAACACGGCACCTGGAATTCGCGTGTGCTTTGGGGGACGTTTGCCATGGTGACCTTTGCCAAGATGAAATTCAGTCTTTTACGAGACAGAGCAAGAGGTCCGTGGGAGTCTGTCCGGACCCCAGCAAGAAGGGTGACCCCCCCATCCTCTGCAGAATGAATATTATACTTGACCTCGGGATGATGTCGTGAAGATTAAACATGCTCTCACATACAGAAAGCTGGAGCAGACCAGACACCCAATCCAAGTTAGCTGCCATGTTTTTCTCTGCCAAGACACGGTGAGAGTCCGATGCCTTGCTGAGATGACATGGAAAATAGCTACGCTCCCTTACATATCTCTGTGATGGCCAACAGAGCCATTATTTGTGGTACCTGCACTCTGAGAGGGAAGGAAAATGGTGGAAAGTATGTTCTTAATGATTGAGATTTTCCTTTTTCCTCTGTCCCCAGTTTTGGGTTGGAGTGTGCTGTTTTGGGTGGAAAAAAAAAAAAGTGCCAGAAATTGTTTACGGGAATATTAGACTCCGTTCCTAAGTCAGAAGCCCACATCTCTGGTTCTTAGGGAATGGATCTGGTGGCAAAATATGTGCAACACCGAACGTACACAATATTAAAAAACACACACACAAAAGACATTACCTGTCAGGTAATCCAGGCATTCTAGCAATTTCTTCTCTCGGGAAAAATCTAAGGCAAAGGTGTCAAATGTGTCATTGAGGTTGATTTCAGGAATTAGGACCTGGGACGATGCGGTTGCCATGGAGACTCTGTAATGTAAACAAAGCAACTTTTTAGAAATGTCAGGATGGCTTTCACTGTCCCTGTATAGGAAGGAAAGAAGGGAAAAGGACAAGAAATAGCATTTTAAAATCGTGCTATTTTCACACGTGAGCCTCAGAAAGGATCTGAGAGCGGCACAACACGGCAACATGATACCTGTGAACGCAAGCTTCAAGACAAGGCAAAGGAATTGGGTAAACATTAGAATAGCATCCCCCCACCCCACCTTTCTTTTTATCTCGGAAAAAAACTCCCCACGGAGCTGAAAGAATATTCATATTTCATGTTGCTGTGTATTTAACAGCCTGGCCCCTTCACATCTAACCCCAGCGAGAAGCACATAGCTCCGGGCACTTCTTCACACATCTGTCTGGGAAACACTTTGTTCCTTTCAGACCCGACCCTGCTCTACTTCAAAGAGGAGTCTCCAAAATTTCAAACTGCATAAAAGGCAAAGTGAGGATTAAAAAAGAATGTTTCCAGATATTGGATTAGTTTAATCAATTACCAGCCCCCTCTCTGAAATAAACATTAAGAAAGGAGTTTTTCCCCGGCTTGCTTCGTTCTCTTTGTATTCATTTTTTTTTTTTTTTTGGCACCATATTCCCGGCAGATGCCATGAAAAGTATTCATGAGCTTTCTCGCAAATTCCTTCAATGGATGCACCAGTTTTCCTCTTCGTTTAGGGTTGCGCGTTAGAGTTCTCATTTATAACCCTCTAAAGCAAGGTGTCGGGAAGTCGGACTCTCTTGCTGGGCATGTGTTCGGCTCTCAACGTGCTTGGCAAAGTTCAGTCACTAACAGCAGAACATTCTGACTAGTTAATAATTGCAGGCAATTCTCTTAAAAACAATACAACTGTGGCGTGATGGAAACCACTTCTGAGCATGTCAGACTACGCCAGCTTCATAATCGTGATGATCTGGGTATTTCATTCAGTTTGGGGGCCACCACCATGGACCTAACTATGTATAGGGTACTCTGTTGGGCGTTGGGAGTTTATGAGCAAAGAAACACTCTGAAATGGTTCAGCTCTAAGTCTAGTTACTTATTTTCTAATTAAGAGCATTGATGTTCACTTATAGAAGGTCACAAAGCTGGCTGGCAGTAGCCGGGAGGAGAATTCCAGGTCCATACTCTTCCATTTAATCTAGAAAAATTTCAACCTTGTTACCTAAGGAGATGGAGCTCCTCCTATACCTCTTAATGGCTCTTAAATCTTTGTATTTGATTTTTAAAATCTTTTTAATGTTTATTTTTGAGAGAGAGAGAGAGAGAGAGAGAGAGCACCAAAGCAGGGCAGGGGCAGAGAGAGACACACACAGAATCCAAAGCAGGCTCCAGGCTCCAAGATCTTAGCACAGAGCCCAACAACACAGGGCTCGAACTCATGAACCGGGAGATCATGACCTGAAGTGAAGTAAGTTACTTAACTGACTGAGCCGCCCAGGTGCCCCAAAACTTTGTATTTTATAAAGACAATCTATTTGGGGGGCACCTGGGTGGCTCAGAGGGTTAAGCAGCCGACCTTGGCTCAGGTCATGATCTCATGGTTCGTGAGTTCGAGCCCCGCATCGGGCTCTGTGCTGACAGCCTGGAGCCTGGAGCCTGCTTCGGATTCTGTGTCTCTCCCTCTCTCTGCCCCTCCCCGGCTTGTGCTCTGTCTGTCTCTCTCAAAAATGAATAAACGTTAAAAAATTTTTTAAAAAGATAATATATTTTGGCTATAAAAATTACACTGGTGGGTATATCCATACAATGGAATAGTATTCATCCTCAGAAAGGGGGGAAGCACTAATACGTGCCACAATGTGGACGAACCTTGAAAGCATTACGCTAAGTGATAGAAGCCAGACACAAAAGGCCACATACTGTATGATCCATTTACATGAAATGTCCAGAATGGGTGAATTCAGAGACAGGGGGCAGATTAGTGGTGGCAAGGGGCTGGAGTGGGGGAGGGGGATGCAATATGTAATGGGAATGGAGTTTTTTCAGGGGGTAATAAGGATTTTGAAACTCAACAGAGGTAGTAATTGCACGGCACTGCCAATGTACTAAATGCCACTGAGCCTCACACATTAAAATGGTTAATTTTATGTTATCCGAATTTCACCTCAATAATGGTTACACCTGTGAAGTGCTCAAAATCCTTAGAAATAAAATTTCTATAACTGTACTTCTGGCAACTTTTCAGTTCTGCATAGGGAGGGAGGTCGAGAGGATAATTAACAATGTAATAACTGGGATGATATTGGGGTCCATAGATGAACGTTTGAAGGGGCATAAACTCTGGAAAGACAAGTTTCAAGTGTCTCAGTGAGGGTAGAGAGTCTAAATTCACCGCCTCACCTTTTCACACCAAGAAAATAGCAGAGTTGTGGGATTTTGTTGGCTAAAGCTCGCACCCAAGGGAAACGGGCTAATTATTGTGACGGACACCTGCTAATTTAGACCGATGGATAAAGGGATGGTTGCTAGGCATTCTTCACAGATGGCCAAACTGTACTTAAAAACTGCTTTCTTTATGACCCATAATCATAACAACTTCTCAAAACTCAGAGAGATCCCAGGATCATTTCGCAAATAAGTACTAAGCCCTTAAAATTTGCCAGGTGCTGAAGAGCCCGAAATCTTTGCATCAGTACAGAAAAGTTAAGAGAAAGGCCCTAAGGTCATTTGAACTCCTCAGATAAACATTTCAAAGCGAAACCCTCTCATGATGATCAAGAGGGAGAACCTCACTGAGCTATTAAGAAACAAGCGTCTTTCTATCGCATTTCTCTGTCATTCTGGTGTGGCCCAGATCTGGGGCTGAGAGGACCTTAAGGCTGCTGCCTCTCGCCTTAGCACTTGCCTGAGCCAGTGGCAGAAGCTTCGGTTGAGGCCCATCCCAAATAGATTTCTCCCAAGTTTCTCCTGGTTCTATGGCTCACAGTTGACTAAAATGTGCGTTGGTCAAGTGAGAATGTTGAAAATGTCAGCAATCTTGACGGTGGGAACTTTGTGGGGTGGGAACAGAAAGGCTGAAAGTCCCTAAGCCTGGGAGGCAAAGACTGACAGCAAGAATCTGTGGAGTTACTGCAGCTTTTAACACCTACACAGTCTTTTGATGGGAGGAAAGATATTTATCTTTGGCTACAATTTCAAATTCTTAATTGGAGTGACAGGCGAGGAGAGAGCTGCCAAACTCAACATTTCAGGCCATGTTTTTATTCCCCAAATCCTTGTTGCCCATCTTCTGGCCTTTCAGATGAGTTGCCAAAATCCACCAGGGCCATGAGTAGTATCAGGCCACTTTCACAATTGTGTGCTTTCATAGTTGTGTGTGTGTGTACGTGTTTACACACACGTGCGCATACCTGTGGGTGTACGGTAAGCCCTTATCATACGGAGGCAAATAAGGACATTGTGCCCGATGCCGATGCTTAAGGGGATGGACTGCACATGACTTCTGTTTCTGGTTGGACGTTGATGCCTCTGATCTCTGAGTAACACTCAGTTTGCTAGGAGCCACATGGGGCCAGTTTTCCAGAAGGTGGATGTGTCTAGAGTTGCACTGCTCACAGGGTTTCTGTCATGCAGTCCACGTCCGGGCAAGACGCTCTACCCTTCCCGCTAAATATCGTCCCCATGCCAGGCCCCTGACAGGGCAATTAAATGGGTCTCTCTTGGGCGAGTGGGTACATCACCACAGTAAAACCCAGGGAGGTCTCACGGCAACAAAATGTGGTTTGCTTTGGTCTGCTCAGGATTTCCCAGATGCACTTGGCTCTGGAACGCTGTTGTTATTTTAACACCAATTAACACCCTACCAGAACACACTTTAGAAACCACTCATCACATGTGCTTGAATTCTTAAGATCACAACTGGAGCTCGGGGCTCTATATTCGGGGTAAGTCTGAGGGGTCCTTGAAGTGCCTAGGCGTTCAAGGACAGAAGGGTCACTCTATGGAGTCAGACACCCCCCCAGGAGTCTGAAAATGGGTACTGTTCAGAGTGAAGTTTCTTTCTATCCTCCTCTTGAAAATTCGCTGCTGAAAGTGATTTATTTTAGATTTCCCATAAGCAGCAGACCAACTTTCTTATGCTTCGATTTAGTGAAGAGTTTTGCTTACTTAATGTGATTTCGTAAGGACGCCCATACAATCGTACAAAAGACCTATATGTTAGCGTGGCTTGAGAGTACAGTATGTCATACAATCTATTTGCATCCATTCAGTGAGTGGGAGGGCAGGGAATTGGCATTTGTTGCACGTTCGCCTTGGGGCGGGAACTGGACTAAGAGTTTTGCTACGTTATCTCATTTTGTCTCTATAACAACCGCATTAGGTAGGTGTCACTGACCTGTTTTATAATCTGTTCACTGATTCATTCGAGTCAGGCAGTGTGCTCTGTGCTGGGGCTGCAATGGTGGAAACAGGATGGCTGGGGGGGTCTGCCTGGTAGGAACATGTGAGCAAGATTAGACTCACAAGTGTTAAAGGAGCAGCCCCGATGGCGTCCGTAATTACTGCCAGGCAATTAACACAGAGCCAGATACTTGATTCCAAAGTGTATGCATCTCCGACAATGTAAAGCTTGAGGGTTTCTCTCCTTTTTTTTTTTTTTTTTTTTAACGCTTCTAAATCGAAAACCTTTTTGCAGTGTGATTCGGCCTATGGGTTAACATATCCACTTCAAGCAGTTTAAAGATGTAGAAAAACCTCATCTATGGGGCGCCTGGGTGGCTCAGTCAGTTAAGTGTCTGACTTCGGCTCAGGTCATGATCTCGTTTGTGGGCTCGAGCCTTGCGTCGGGCTCTGTGCTGACAGCTAGCTCAGAGCCTGCCTGTCTTCGGAGTCTGTGTCTCCCTCTCTCTCTGACCCTCCCCTGCTCATGCTGTCTCTCTCTGATTCTCAAAAATAAATTTAAAAAACAAAAACCATAAAAAAATTAAAAGGAAAACAAGAAAAATCTCATCCAAGTCTCATTTTAGGAAGGCTTGCAGGATTAAAAGTTTGTTCTGGGCTTTCCATCCTCGAATAGAATAAAGATGGTTTAGAAGTATACAGGTGCCAAAGCCTAAGGCAGACACACGGGCAGGCAGAGAATTACCAAGTCATGTCCTGGAGAAGAATGCTTACTAAGTAAAGGATTGAGGAGTAGAGACGGGCAGAGACCAGCCCCAGAAGAGACATGTACGACCTACTGAACTATGAAAACCTAAATCTAACAAATATTGGGGAGTGTCTATGATGCTAACAGCCTGTTCTTAGGAGTCATCAACAGTATTATCGAAACTACCGATAGAGGCAGCTATTATAAGCCCGCTTTTCTTAGCAGAAAATACCTCCTGGATAAACCTAAAGAATCACAGCTTAAAAACTGGCAGCTCTGGGATCTGCCCAAGTTTCCCAGGTCCTAGTCCAAGGTCCCTGCCCTTGCCCTACATTCCGGTCCTAGAAAAAGAAAGGCTCAAGAATTGACCAAGAAGATTGACAAACGAAGACAGAAGAGTTGGGCTGCCGAAACGGGGGCAAAGGCAGCTGGCGAATTTTTATAGGTACTATGTCTTTAAACTTGATGGAAGTTTAGCCTTCTCGTAAACAGGAGGCCCACTTTTTTACGTCTGGACTTAGTGAGATCTTTTGCTCATTTAAAATAATTTTAGGGATGCCTGGGTGGCTCAGGCGGTTAAGCATCCAACTCTTTATTTCGGCTCAGGTCAGGATCTCACGGTTCGTGAGATCGAGCCCCGCATTAGGCTCTGTGCTGACAGGCAGAGCCTGCTTGGGATTCTCTCTCTCCCTCTCTCTCTCTGCCCCTCCTCGGCTCATGCTTGTGCATTCTCTCTCTCTCTCAAAATAAATAAATAAACTTAAAAAATAATTTTATAAAAGTGCACATACAATTACACTGAGAACTATAGATTAGTGAAGTTTCAGAATATAGTATACACTTGACCTTTGAACAATGAGGGGTTTAGGGGTGCCGAGCCCCACACAGTTGAGAATGTTGAGAATGCACATATAGGGGCACCTGGTGGCTCAGTCAGTTAAGCGTCCGACTTCGGCTCAGGTCATGATCTCGTGGTTCATGGGTTCAAGCCCCGCATCGGGCTCTGTGCTGACAGCTCAGAGCCTGGAGCCTGCTTCAGATTCTGTGTCTCCCTCTCTCTCTCTGCCCCTCCCCTGCTCACATTCTGTCTCTCTCTGTCTCAATAATAAATAAAAACATAAAAAAAATTTTTTTTTAAAAAAGAAAATCCATGTATAACTTTTGACTTCCCCAAACTTAACCACTTATAGCCTACTGTTAACCAGAAGCCTTACTGGTAACATAAAGAGTTGATGAACGCATTTTTTGTATGTTAAATGTATTATATTCTGCATTCTTCCAATAAAGTAAGCTAGGGAAAAGAAAATATTATTAGAAATATTAAGAAATATTACTATAGAAAATATTATTAAGAAAATCATGAGAGAAAGTACATTTACAGTACAGTCCTGTACTGATTTGAAAAAATCCACGGCATCCAGATGGCCAACAAACATATGAAACGATGCTCAGCATCCCTACTCATCAGGGAAATACAAATCAAAACGACACTGAGATACCACCTCACACCAGTCAGAGTGGCTAAAATGAGCACATCAGAGAACACGATATGTTGGCGAGGATGTGGAGAAACGGGCACCCTCTTGCACTGTTGGTGGGAATGTAAACTGGTACAGCCCCTCTGGAAAACAGTGTGGAGGTTCCTCAGGAAACTAACACTAGAACTCCCCTATGACCCAGCAATAGCATTGCTAGGAATTTACCCAAGGGATATAGAAATGCTGAGGCATAGGAGCACATGGACCCCAATGTTCATAGCAGCACTCTCCACAATAGCTAAAACATGGAAAGAGCCTAAGTGTCCATCAACGGACGAATGGATCAAGAAGATGTGGTTTATCTATACCATGGAATACTCCATGGCAATGAGAAAGAATGAAATCTGGCCATGTGTAGCAACATGGATGGACCTTGAGGGTGTTATGCTGAGTGAAATAAGTCAGGCAGAGAAGGACAAATAGCATATGTTTGCACGTATAGGAGGATTAGGAGGAACTTGACGGAGGACCAAGGGGGAGAAGAAGGGGGGAAATGGTGGGGGAAAGGGAGAGAGGCAAACCATGAGAGACTCTTGAATGCTGACAAACACTGAGAACTGATGGATGTAGGGGGGAGAGGGGATGGGCATGGAGGAGGGCACTCGTGGGGATGAGCACTGGGTGTTATGTGGAAACTAATTTGACAATAAACTATTTATTAAAAAAAAAAAGACAGACAAGAAAGTGACTTACGAAAATGTAGAACGAAAAAACCACTGTTCTCACTGCCCCGTTTATTTGGGAAAATTGTTATTTTTCATAAAAACTATATTTCTGTTTTCATATGATTGTAAATGAATTAATAAACATTTAAACCTAAAAAAAAAAAATCCACGGATAGGTGGATGTGCGCAATTCAAACCCATGCTGTTTGAGGGTCAACTGTATTATACAATTCATCTGTAGAAAGAAAACTCAAAGTCATGTTTTTGTTCCTGAAGAGATGGGCTTGTTACAGGTAGAGGTGAATGGGACCAGTTCTACCCCGCTGGGTCTGAGGGCGATCACGTGTGGACATTCATGGCTTATGTTATACTTCAAAGGTAGGTAGGTCTTCTCTCGGAATGTTCTATTCTTAAAAAAATATTTAATTTTGGAAGAGCGCGAGCGGGGGAGGGGCAAGAGAGTGGGAGACAGAGGATCTGAAGCGGGCTTTGTGCCAACAGGTTGACAGCAGTGAGCCCGATGTGGGGATCAAAATCATGACCCGAGAGACCAAGACCCCAGTCGAAGCCAGATGCTCAACTGAGCCACACCCAGGTGCCCCCAGAATGTTTTTTTTTTCTTTAAAAAAATTTTTAATGTTTTTATTTATTTCTGAGAGAGAGGGGGAGAGAGAGACAGTGTGAGCAGGGGAGGGTCAGAGAGAGGGAGACACAGAATCCGAAACAGGCTCCAGGCTCTGAGCTAGCTGTCAGCACAGAGCCCGACGCGGAGCTCGAGCCCATGAATGGTGAGACCATGACCTGAGCTGAAGTCGGAAGCTTAACCGACTGAGCCGCCCAGGCGCCCTGTCCCAAGAATGTTCTATCTTAACTGTTATAGGGCCACATTCTCTCCCCTCGATAGCTGAGAATTTAAAATCATATTTCACTGGATCACATTTTTATGGATTGCTGAGAAACGCACCTCATAGTAGCCACTTCATCTGGACACCTCATGATTTAAAGCTGGAGAAAAGTACTCGGATCCCAGTTGGAAACCATGACGTAAGTGTAAACACTGTCTAGTAGAGTGCCGTAGGTACAGGAGTTATTAGTGGTATTTGCAATTTCTAACTTTAGGACGAGTATGAAGCAATTGGATACGGTCCAGATGAGAGCTGGGAAGACAATTATACACTTGGAGCCTAGGAGACGTGGGGAAAGAAACTGGCTTCTCTTAAGAGTAGGGAGGTGATCATTTTAAGGATACAAAAGGGATGATAACCAGCTGTTATCCTCGTGCTTTGGAAGAGATTAGGTATCAGAACCAATCGCAGAAGGAACTGTCCTCAAATGTAACAACACAGTGAAGCAGGTTCAATACAAGACCAGAGTTGTAAAACTACTACTACTGTACATTACTCTAATTGAAAGAACAGCGGAAACGGAAATTATCAATGCCTACCTGTAAGCGACATTTTGAGAATTAGCACAGTGTCGGCCACAAGCAAGCACTCAATTAATGCTAGTTTTCTTTCTCTTTCCTTGAAGAAATTCAAGTCATAGGATGGTATTTCCGCACCCCACCCCTCCAGGCCGGGGGTTGGCAAAATACAGCCAGAGAGCCAAATACCTGTTTTACGAAATGTTTTTAAGAAACACAGCCATGCCTCTCTGTTTCCGTACTGTCTAAGCGAGGCTGCTAGACAGCTATCGCGGCCGAGTTGAGCAGTTGCGAAGGAGGCCTCAAAACTTGTAGAGCTGAAAATATTTACTCTCTGGTCCTTTATAGAAGTTGGCAGACCCCTGCTCTAGGATAAAGACCAGCATGAATGAGCTGCCTGGGGTTGTCTGGTGATTGGATTCTATTATTGCTTTGGGTAAGGGGCAAGTGGCTCTGAAAATCAGAATGAATGAAAAGTCAAGGGCATTGGCAAGGCTTGGAGACAGTCAAGTACCTGGACCGAGGGAGCGCTGACTCCCACGAGTTTTACTGCTGAACTGACCAGTCACAAAATGTTATCTTCATGTTCCCTCACCTAGAATAAGCCACACATTTCAGAGAAAGAGGCAGGAGAGACTGACAGTTGGGTCCTCTCTCTCTCTCCCATGAGTCAGCTTTGACCTTTCAGAAGAGGCAAAGCTTCTCGACCAAATAAAAACAGGTCTAACGGAAAGCAACACCTGGGAGTTTGTTCTTTTCTTTTCTTTTTTTCCCCAAATAGATGAGCCCCGAGATGGAAGAAAAGCTTCCCTTTTATGTCTCTGCCTTCATTTTGATTCTTTGTTATCAAGCGTACGATAAGATCAGGTCTGAGTCGCAATAAATGGTTTTGTGCGACCATAAGCTTTCTCCTCCCAAAAAGCAAGGCTGATTTTATTCTTTCTAACTGGTGGACTCTTGTTTCAAAGGCCTTGAACTCCAGGGTGCTGCTGAAAAGGCTTTGACATGTCAAAGGGAAGCATCTTTAGCTGGAACAAAGCAGCTCAAAGCCTCTATTCTCCCTGGTACTCAGCCTTGAAAATGAAAACAAAAGCAAGGCGAGGGCAAGGCCAACCAATTGCTCCCCAATCGCTCCCCAGACACAGGAGCCCAGCAGCTGAGAACTTCCCAGCAGCCCCCCGCACTCACCTCTCAGTGATATTCTTCGCCGTCTGTAGGAAGCGCGCATGATCATTCTCCTTCAGAGAATGTTCCGCTTGGGAGATGAGTGATGCCGACCGCTCGATGCACTGCTTGCAGTTTGCAATCTGTTGAGCCAGTTTGCGAAGCCTCATCACCTTGAAAAGAGGCATGGAGACGGTTACACGGGTGGGCTCGCTTAGGGAGAATGCATCGGGCTGGCCCCTTCCTGATGTGTGTGATCTGTTGCCTGTAAGTTGTCCTTCAATAAAAGTCCAACAAGTAGGCAGGGACATATGGAAATCCCAGTTAGGGGACTCCTGGCTTAGACAGTCATTGTCTCCTTGGAGAAGCATTGCTAATTTGTTTTATGAGAAAATACTCAATTGCGAATTGCTTCCTTGTTGATGGGGAAAAAAGGTGCTGCCCGATGGTAAGTTACAAGGGTCACCAGACCCTGTCCGTGACTATTCCACTCAATTACTGTCAGATTATAGGGAACGCTGGCACCCTCTCTTATCTCAGGTTTCCAGCTGGGCCGGCAAGAAAATAAAACATCTCCAGAGGTGCAAATGTGTGGCTTCAGTAAGAACCATTTTCTAGAGAGTTCTTTGCAACCCATGTAATAAAACTGTGATGTGAAAACAGGAGGTATTACTATTTCCCACACGATCTAAAACTCATGTGTTAGATTCACAGAAAGAGAGCGTTTTTTTCCACTGATTAATATTTTTCCTGTTGAGCAGATGAGAGAAGGCCAAAAACAGCACAGCTGGGCCGTTTCCCCTCACTGGGAACGTCATTTCCAGGCACTTTGCGCTTACTTGATAACTAAGAACTATTTTGATAAGCGTTTCCCAGTCGGGATAAAAATGCATGTTTGGTTCCAACCTCCATTCCAGTTCCTGATCCTGTCTTGCTTGGAAACGACCCTCAAACGTAATTGACCGTAACCTCTGGGGTAGGCCAAGCTACTGGCACGGTAACCCACTTGACCACGTGCTCTGGTGTCTGAAACGTGCTACAATATGAAGCCCTCTGGCCAGGCACCAAGTTAAAATTAGACTGCTAATTGGAATGGCCGAGCGCCGGGTGCCCCCTCCACGCAGCTTGGGACAGGTCTTGGCCGGCTTTGTGATCATTCCGGAATGGAAAACAGCTCTGGGTGCGCAGGTAGGGAGGAGGCCAGTTAATCTATCTTACAGACAAGGCTGGCTCCAGCTCCCTCCAGAATTCCTGCTAACTCCAAGAAATTCCTTCTTTCTCCAAGTCATCATTATCATCCCCGTGCAACTTTAATCGAAGAAAAGGAAGGAAGGAGATGTCAGAACTCGAGGCCTCTGAGGAACATCTGATTCCAGCTACGTCGTCCTGCAGCAAACAAAGGAAATGAACGCTGCACTGAGAGGCAGCGGCCACAAGATTTCAGGCAAGAGTGAGAAAAATTCCTGAAAGGAGAGTTAGAGAATGAAGTGTCAAAACCTTGGAGCAAACAGTATATGATACTAAGCCTGGTAAAAGCCTTCACTCATTATAATAGTTCTCGTGACCTTCCACAGCAGATTAACCGCGGTCGTTAGTTGAATGAAATAACACTTATTTTACACCAAATTGAATTTAGCTTCTTTTTTTTTATTTAAATGTTTTATTTATTTCTAGGAGAGAGAGAGAGAGAGAGAGAGACAGTGTGAGCAGGGGAGGGTCAGAGAGAGAGGGAGTCACAGACTGAAACAGGTTCCAGGCTCTGAGCTGGCAATCAGCACAGAGCCCGACGCGGGGCTCGAACCCACGAACCGCGAGATCATGACCTAAGTGAAAGTCGGACGCTTAACCGACTAAGCCACCCAGGTGCCCCGAATTTAGCTTCTAACATTACTACATCCAGAGGTAGAGCTAAGAAAGGCATCAAGTCCAATTCAAGATATTAAAAGACCTCCATCAGAGGAAGGAAAATAACTTAGAGTCTCTAGGGCAAACCAAGCCAACAGATTTGTAATCATACAACAGAATTATGAAGATGTTTGATGCAATTCGAACGAAAGAAACATAAGGTCACAGTATTCCTTTGGAATAACTTCGCGTCAATCACTTATCCTTTCGGTATGTCTATCGGTGATAGGCTGATTTTTCCACCGACTACAGTTGCAACAATGCTTGAACTCTATTTTCTTCTTTCTTTTCTTCTATCACGGTATTGGAAATTAAACGTGACATTAAGAGAAGGGAAAAACCCTCTTATATCATGCGTAAGTTGAAGCAAGCCAAAATGAGAGCCTCCTTTGAACACATAGGATGCTTACCAAAATCAATTGCTGGCACAATTTTAATTTTAGCTCAAGTGTACAATTCTGTCTGATACACCAAATTGAAGCATTTCAAAGTGGTGTGCCTAAGAATCAGCGAGGGGTCTTTTTTAAAGAGAACTGCAGATGTTTGGGCTCACTCTCCAATATCCTAGGTAAAAAGCTGTCACTGGAGAGCAGTGAGAATCTGCATTTCAACAGGCAATGAGGTACAGGCACGGGGAGAACTAGCACTGAAAACACTAAGAAGAGGGACACCTGGGTGGCATAGTCGGTTAAGCGTCTGACTCCTGATCTCGGCTCAGGTCATGATCTCACGGTTTGTGAGTTCGAGCCTCTCATCAGCTCTGTGCTGATGGCGCGGAGCCCGTCTTGGGATTCTCTCTCTCCTTCTCTCTGCCCCTCCCCTGTTTGTGTGCATGCTCCCTCTCTCTCTCAAAATAAATAAATAAACTTAAAAAAATAAAACATTAAACAGAAGAGAAAAGGAGAGGAGAAAAGAAAGTAGCAGAGTGCATTCCTGGTACAAAGGGCAAATTAGGTTTTGCAAAAACTGTGTGTGTGTGTGTGTGTGTGTGTGTGCGCGCACGCGCATGTGTGTGGACACACACACACACAAGCTGGATTTGATGTCCTGTGTATTTCGTACTGTGAGTTTCAGTTAAAAAAAGAAAAGAGAAAAACACTGCTCTAAGTTACGTGTTCATAAACTATGGTCTATAAGCCATATTCAGCATACACCTGTCTGTGTAAATAAAGTTTTATTGGCACACTGCCCCATTCATTCATTTATGACTCATCTATGGCTGTTTTCACACTACAACATTGGGCAGAGGGGAGCTTTTGCAACGGAAACTGTATGGCAAAACCAAAAATATTTATTATTTGGCCCTTTACAGAAAAAGTGGGCTACCTTAAACGATTCTGATGAGATGGCCCTGATCTGAACCACACTCTGGGAAAAACTACCCTACTTGGTATACGGCCCTTCAGAATCAGACACCGAGCATTTAGCAAAATAGGAATTTCTTCATTAGAACACACTTCATATATTATTTTAAAAATCTGATGAGACGAATAAAATTTGAGTTTTGAAAAGCAACACTCGATCCTGACACATAAGAAGATCCTTTATATGTGCGTGTTATTGCCACAGGGGACATTTTTCCGAGTTGGCTCTGTTCTTTTTCCCTTTGGGAAGTGTTGATTGCACGCTGTAATTTCAGGAATTCATTCCATACTCATCATGGAAATATCCCGCCCATTGGACCCCCTTTTACGGAGGACATAGGCCTAAATATGCCAGTGTACTTGCTGTTTATTATATCTTAACACATGCTTTTAAAAGTAGCCCTTTGTTTTTCTTTAAATGCATTTTAAATGCTTTTAATCTATGTGCTTTTACATATACTGCAGGATTCCCACCCCAACACTGTTATGTCCTAACAACTGATCCTCAGGCATCACAAATCTCTGAATGGCCAATGAGGCTTGTACTTGGCATTTCAATCAGGCTGAAGAGAAGCCTGAACATATAGTCCAGTTAACTGTCTTAAATTTTGGAGATTTAATACTCTGGTTTCTCTTCGGATCGTATAAATCTTTCACCTTTTAAATTTTGGAGATTTAGAGTACATAAAAGCAGTGAAGAGAAGGGACCCTTTTCCTCTGTGGCTGCAGCCTTCTACCATCGATCTGCGTCAGAACGTAAAACACAGAATTTGCTTAATCTGGAGTCTGCTCTCAGGGAGCCTGGCTTGAGACTCTCCAGTCCGTCCAAGTATAAAGGCTGCCAAGCTTTTTATTTTAAAGAATGCACAATGGTCTGAGGGCAAGAATTACCACTACGTACCAGTGTGTAACAGCCCCACCTGCCCGGCAAGCCCCCGGCCGACGGACCTGCGGCGAGCCGAGTTCCACCAAATCTAACAACGGCCTCGTGATCGGCACCAGAGACACGTGGTGGCGAAGTCACGAGGTGGGTGAAATTCACCACCGCGATCCCCACAATCCTGGTGGTTTTTCCTCCAGCTCCCCACTTCCAAGCGCTGCTCAGTCCCTTCTCTGCATTCAGTGTCGTCAGATACCACCCTGGGCACCCTCACAGGCACCACGTCCACACTTGCACTCCCTGCCCAGCACTCCAGATTTAAAGGGTGTTGGTACCCATGTTCCTTATTCCTCAAATGTACCTCTTACACCACACGCCCTGGCCAGGGACCCAGTCACTGTGAATTCCGAGTTTTGGGAATCAACATTCCTTGGCGATGTGCCAAAGCAGTAACTCAAGAGAAAGCCAAACTGGACCTCATCTTCCCCAAGTAAAGTTTGCTTTCTGACACTGCTTCTGAGATCATGTCCCTGGGCAACTTTTTAATAAGTGAGAAATTCCAAACGCACGGTCTTTCAAGTGATCTGATCAAATTTCCTACACACAATACCAGCTTTACCAAATCTTAATATTTTCATCATATTAGTGTAAGGTTTTTCAAGAGAAAGTGAAATATCATTGATAGCATTGAAGCCCCCGTGTGTCCCTCCCTCATTTCATTCAAGTCCTTCGAGAGGAAAATACCTCTTGTGAATTCAGGGTGGATCGCTCCCAAGCAGGTACCTGTGCCCAAACATTTTACGGGATTTTTTTTTTTTTGCAGTTTATCAAATTTTATAATTCTCATGCCATACAAAAGTGCTGTAAATCTTGTTTATATTTTTGTGATTTGTCCATATGAATACAGATCACCCTAGTCCATTTTAATTTTTGAAGACTGTTCCATTATATAAATATACAACTGTCTTTATTGAGGGGCGCCTGAGGGGCTCAGTCGGTTAGGCGTCCGACTTTTGGTTTCGGC